GAATAGATTCTGTTGTTAAATTATGTAATTCTGAATCTGTATTGCTTTTTTATTTCTTTTAAAATAAATGTGTATAGAATTCTTCAGCTGAATTAATATACTTTTTGCTTATCAATACACATAAATAATCTATGAATGCTGATAGAGGAGGAGCCAATACAAATAATTAATATAGTAATCTACCTAAATTCATATTTAAAACACTAAAAAATATATAACTATTAATTACATTTCCATATCTTATGAAGATTATTTCTTTTTGTCTGTATCATCTTATTTATCAGATTTTTCATCTTTTTTTACATCTTTTTCATCTTTTTCAGGTGCAATCTTCATTAAAGGTTATGCTCCTTCAGCATCATTCTTTTTTTCTATACCACTATATTTATTAGTAGCTGCAACCTATTCTAAAATTTATTTGTAAACTGAATTTATTATATAAAGAACTCCTAACATTAAAAAGAATGCTGTTAATATTGAGATGATAACAGATACATAAACTGCCCATTAGGTTGCTGGACTTTAATCTAAATTAATGTTTGTTAATTAATAACTTGTTTCATTTAATTTTACTATTTCAACCCATCTTTCAAATTCATTATTAGATTCAATATATTTACGTAAACCAGTTGCTTCTTTTGGATAATTTTCAGTTGGAAATTTTACTGAATTTTACCAAGCAATTGTTGTTATGGAATGTTCAGCTTTTTCAAAATATTTTCCAATTAAAAATCTAGTATTATATATATCATCTAAATCTAATGTAGGATGATAGGGACAAAATCCAGGACTTAAATTTAAATCTAATGTCCATGATGCTGTACTCATTAAAGTAAATGAAAATGTACCCATCCACCAAGGTTTTACATATGAATAAGCAGGATTATAGGTTAATGACCATTATTAATAATTATCAGATCTAGTAATTTTAGATCCAACTTTAAGTACAAAATTAGGATCAAAATTATGAGGATCATCAGCCATTTTCAAATAATGTCTTAATATTTTTTAACTTGGTAAATCAAAATCAACACTTCCTGATGCATAACTTAATCCATGAATAATAGTATCCTTTTTTGTAATAGTTTTATTTTATTTTTTAATAATGTTCACATAAACATTACCAAATCTTCCAGTAACATTTAAGAATCTTAAACCAGTAGGTATAGAGTGAGGTAATTTTTTTTATGCTTCTGCAAATATTCCTTTATAATCAATTTTAGCCTCTGTTTTGTTAGCATTTTTATCAGTCTCATTTTTATCATCTTTTTTTAATTCTTCTCCTTCTTTCAATAATCTTAATTATGATCCTTAAGGTTTTCCTTAAGCTTAATCAGTAGAATTTGTTGGATTAATAGTATTATTAGATTTTTTTAAGACATCTTTAATTGTTTAACATTCCAAAGATTAACAAAATATTGAATTACCAAAACAAGAAGGTTAAAATAAAGTAGCTTATTTTTCTTTAATGTCTTTTGTTTTACTTTACATATTAGCTTTAGGTGTTTGAGGATTAGTTTTATTATCTTTTTGAGGATCAGCATCACTTTTAGGAGCAGTAGCATCTTTTTCTTATTAATGAGTTATTTAATCTAATTAGACTTAAAATTCTTTAGATTGATTATAAGTATCAACAAATGGTAATAAGATAATATTTCCTTATAAATTTTCATGTTCATCAGCAAAAAAACTTTCATATATTTCATCTTCTAAACTTAAAAATTCTGTTTCATCTTCCTTATCTCCTTTATCTTTTTTATCTTTTTTTTCATCCTTCTTATCTTTATCTTTATCTTTTTCATCATCATCTTTATCTTTATCTTCATCCTTCTTCTTCTTTTTCTTTCCAGTACCAACTCCTTAAATAAAGGCCTTTACTTCAGATGCAGGTGCTTCTTAACAACCAACAACAATTGGATTTGCAATCACAGGAGCAGCATAACAATAATGAGGATTAGCATGTGTCCAATTAACCATCATTTCATTATCAGTTTAAAATATGATATCACCATTTTCTAATCTAACATCAGAGAATTATTCAAATTATAAATAATTTCCTTAAAATCTTCCTTAAATACTATTAAAGGTTAAGTTCTTAGTAACTAATTTTAAAGCATTTAATTCAACTAATTCTCCTGTCTAAATAAATATTAATAATAAATAATTACAATATTGATTGTATTATAGGATATATTATTGGATGTCATCACAATAAAACAAGATCCAAAACAATTTATTGATAAATCATCAAGAACTGCTTGTTTATAGACATGTAAATCTATTTAACAACTTTGAGCAGATAATAAGTTAGTAAATTCATAACTATAATTGCTACCTTAAATATCTTCTGAAATTGTTGAAGTATTTGCATTAGGATCTATATTGAATCTTCCTGGAATTGAATATTCAAGGGCAAAGTCTGGTATAAGTAAGCTTGAACTTTCATCTATTGCATCACCTAATTTTGGCCCATCTATTGTTGTTTAATTAAGACTTTGGACATGAGAGTTTTTCTTTTTTAATGTTGTAATACTAGCCCCTAAATATTTAATTGAAGACATAGATTTTGTAATTTGATATTCCTAAAAATATATATTATTATTATACACTATCTATGATATGCATTCTACAATTTGTAACATTCATCATCAATCTTGAATTGGCAGGTATTTTTTAAATACCATCATAGAAGGCAAAAAATTCAAATATTACATAAAAACCTGTAAACAAAACTGTTGTAGTTATGATTAAAAATATGATTCGAACAAAAGATCTTAGACGTATTGCCCATTTAAGTGCTTGTTTGTTTTATTCCTCTAATTCCATTTATTGTAACTAAAGGGACTTCCTAAAATAAGATTTGGTAAACAAATTTACGTTTTGCTCCAAACCTTTTTAGACTCTATTTTCTAGATAATAGGTCTTTTATCATCATCAGAAGAGGAGGATGACTCTTAATCATCTTTTTTTTTCTTATTTTTTTTTTACGATCTATAAATTCAAAAATATTTTTACTTTATTGGTTTTTCTTGGTTGCTTTGTTAAGCAATATTATCCTGTGGATTAGGTGGTTTATTAACAGGAATCTCAATTTCTCCAGGTTGTTCTTCATTCATCTATTGATATTGTTAAGACATTTGAAAAAATAATAATGAAAGTATATGTTTAAATTATTCGAATTTAAATACATTAAAAAAGAAGTTATACAACTTAAATAATTGATCATTAATATCATTTGATCATGATTAATAAATAAAATGAATAAGTTTAGGTATATTGGATTTGTTAGAAATTTATTTAAATTTTATTTTCAACTAATACAAAACACACGCTCAATATAAATTTAACCAAAAATAATACATTAAAATATGTATATAATTATTAAAAACTAATTATTAAAATCATAAAGCGAGAGGTATTAATTTTAGAATCATTTCAATGAATTTCAATTCATCATCAAATTCTTAAATATCCTCATCAATTTCCTTTGCGGTTAAATTTACATATTAACATAGAGTTTTTGTTGTTACTAATTATTATAATAAATAATATATACATGATAAAACAATTTTTTTATTTTATGAATTCGCTATTATTTGTTATACTACTTTTGGTTTCTCAGGTGATTTTTTTTTGAAATTCTAATCTGGAAAATCAATCGTTTTATTTATAATACTATAATTGATATGATATGAATCTAATTGAATATCTTTAGAATTCTTTATTATTTAGTACATCTTTTATAGATTTTATATTGTCCAACAATCTGAAAATATTTATAAATGATAAAATCTAAATTAATAATTCAAAAAATACCTTCTTTTAAATGCTTAATAACTTCTCTCTAATCTATATTAAAGCTTAATTTCTTCATAAAATGCTACTGAATGTATTTAATGTTCAGATAATCTTATATCTGGTAACAATAATAAACATAATTAAAGAGAATCTTCTAAAATAGAATGTCGTTTATTAGATGATTTAATTGTCAATTGTTTTAATATTTCATGTATATCTGATAGCAATTCTTGTTTTTCTTTTAACATTGGATCCTCTTTTACTCCCATTTTTATTTCATAACTTGATAATTTTTGATCATAATAACTCTTTTCTTAACTTTCCTAATTAAATTCTGAGACTCTCTTTTAATTTGTTGATCTTCTATTAACAATTTCCCTACTTTAAGATTAGAATATATTTGATTAAATTAATTGTATTGGTTTTAATTCATTTTATTCTTTTTTAATTCTATCCTTGAGTTATTAAGCAGCATTCTATGGTGTTAATATTTATTCAGTTTCTTTATCATTTTGATTATATTAAGTAATTTAAATTTTAACACAGAAAACAGGCTAAATTTTTAGTTATGAATTTTTACGAACTTATTAATGAATTTATTGTTATTACTCTTCTATTTAAGTTATGTTAGGCTAATTAGATTATTTTTTATCTTAAGAAGTAGATTTTGGATATTTTGCTTTAGAAATATAAAATTAATTTGCAACATTTTCTTGAACTTGTATTTATGCAATCATTTAATTTTCTTTTTTGCTTTAAACTTATATAGGTGTCTATTCTTTCTAAATACTATTTTTCTTTAGTTAGCTATTTCTAGTTGAATATTCTTTTTATTATGATTGATTCTATTTGAATTAGTTTTCAGATACATAATCATTTGATGCGACATTTTCTTATTAGAAATTTGAATTTTACATTGATATTTGAAATTTAGTTATAATAAATATTATAATAAAATTAAATTCATATTTAATTGATTAGTTTTCTAAAATAATATATAAGTATTGATAAATTTTCATTCAAAAAAAATAATATAATATTATTTCATATATATTCAATATAAAAGCTACTTATTTAAGATATTTATTCAATTTTTAATAACTAAAATTGAACTATACATTTTAAGTAAAATACAATGTGTAATGAAAATTTAATTAATTTTAATATATGGAGAGTGAAATTTAAATAGAATCATTCTGTTATCATGTACTTAAGGTTGGATTAATCCATTTTAAATTTGGTTACTAAAGAATCAATTTCTTTGTCTATTTAGATATAATAATAGCTGGTTCATTTTAATAGAAGTTATAACGAATGACAATTGGATTAAATTTAACTTTTTTATTGTTCTTCTCTAACTTTTTGTTAGAATATTAAGTTTAGATAATTTGAGTAATAGAACATTCCTCTTTAGATTAGACTTTTACTTCAAAATCATCTAAACATTCTACACTTTAATCTTCTTGATTTTGGTAAAATCCTAAGGGAATAAGAAATAATTATTTTGGACCTATCATTGATAATGATATAAATTTATTTATCATTTCAAGTATTAATAATTCTTTAAAAAATAATTAATATTTAATATATTTAATTAATTGTAATCTATAACAATAGTAATATATACTCCTATATATATATATAACACTTACTTTAATATAAATTATGAATTTTCTTTTGATATTAATAATATTTAATAAAAATTATTCTTATTTTATGTCTAAGTCTAGATCAAAAAGTACAATTGAATAGAGAATCAAAGAAGTGAGAATGTAAAAATCTAGAAATTATTCTCATGTTGATGGAACATGTGTATGCTCTGATTGTTTATGTGGTTAATGCAAATGCTAAGTATAGTAACAACATTATGATTATCCAAAACTTTTACTATCAAATTATAAAAGAGAATATCCATGGAAATATTCATCACCTCCTAAACCAGTTTAAAAAGTTGAATATTAGTCCAATTTTGAATAAGTTTGTAGATCATCTACTTACTAAAGAAATTTTTAATAATTCAACATTTAGAAAACTGAAAATTTCAAACCATCACCTTAAGATTGGAGAAATGAGTCACCAATAGTTGAAATGACATCTTATAGAACAAATTTCAAATAACAACCTAATAGTATAATATTAAAGTTACATTAGATATCACACCAATGTTAAGGCCAATTGAAGTTGATCATTCTATAAATTTACCTATGTCTTAGAAAACTACTTATAAGAATCACTTTAGAGCCTGTAGTTCTTAATTAGAAAATGATCATTATGTTAGAGAAGCTCATTATAAAAGACACACAAATTAAACTCCAAATCCATATTTAAAAACATCATATCAACATTTTTATAATGTAGTTTCATAATCATAAACAAATGCAATTTTACCACAATAAAATTAACCATTTATGCCATCCTTATCTGGATCATAGAACAGATAAAGTAGATATCAATCAGATTATAAGAGAAAATAAAAACTTAAATGTTAAGCAAGATAATATTTAGAAGAGTACATTATTATTAATTAAGATTGAATAATATATATTTATCATTTTTTTATATAATTGATTATTACTTGAAATTGTTGTTTTTTAAGACTCATAATTTATCAATTAATTCTTAACATTATATATATATTTTTTTTTAAAGTGATTTATATAAATATATCATATATAATTGTAGTTTTCTTTATTTTCACATATTTTCTTATTACTCTTTCTATCTGAAAGCAATTATGATTTTGATTTTCTTTTACTACCCAAATTAGGTTCAACTTCTGTTGATTTATTTATAAGTTTAGATTTATTCTTATAAAGATTCAAACTTTATTATTAATCTTCAATTTAGCTTTCCTTTTATTACTATGTTACATCAAAGTTATCATTGATATTTTCATCATTCGATAATACATCTACAGTTTTGTCTGATAATTCCTCATCCTTTATTAAATAATCATAAGCTTTAAACAATAACTCATCGATTTTACGATTGATTTTTTGAATCTGGTTTCCCATCAATTAATCTAACAGAAATAAATATATTGTTATATTTATCTAATTTTATCAATTAAATAAATAGTATAAAGACTGATTAAACTAAAAAATATACAGAAATGTAGTATTTTTATGGAATAACATTCAACTTTCATTTAAATTCTCTCATATGAGTTGAAAACATAAATTCATATATTATTAATTAATTAAATGTCAAACATTAAGTATATTTATTTGAAGAAAATACATAAAGTTCCATCAAATATTACTAATTACTATAATCTCATTGAAACCATCAAAAATACTAATAAATAATTAAAGAACATTTATCTATTTGCAATCATTAATCCAGGTAGATATTTAAAAATACTATTATAGAAAAACCTGATATACTTACTGAAATCAATTCAGATGTTACCTTTTAATAATTAAAAATAGTATATTAATAATAAGGATTGCCTTCTATTAAATTATTAGTGACAGAAACAAAGAATTATTAAGAAATCTTAAAAGATTGTTAAGACTTTTTAAATTAAAGTATAGTTACAACAGAAAAGAAACATAAAGATGTTTCAACCTTCTTTTAACCTAGTAATTAAGATTAATGGCAATAATTTTCACCATTGTTAGGGAATATAGGGTAATTGTATTTAAATAATAGTATTTAGAACTTAAGCATAAGTATAATAAATTGATAATGCATAAAATACAAATGAAATGGATTTTAGAAATAATAAATAACTTAAAGAATTAATTGATGAAATTATTGATTAAAAGCTAAAAGATTTAGGATTAATAACAAACAATAACAATTAAATTGATCCATTTGATTATAAATTTAAATTGACTATGAAAAATCTTGTATATATTGCTAGTTCAAATAATAACCTTAATATTTAATTAAGTTTAAAAAATAATGGTAAGAAGAAATGGTATAATCCATATATAATAAATAAAGAAATAAATTTACTTTAGAAATTTAAAGATTTGTCTCCAGGTTAATCTATTTAAGTTAATATTTCTATTCCATTCATTCCTTAACATTTTAATGAGAATAAAAAACATCTTTATAGTTTCAAAGTAAATATAATACTTTATAATATTAGATCAATGTTGAAAATGAATAAAGATAATAGTTTGAAGTAGATGGTTAAATTCCAATCTTAGTCTAGGCTCCAATTGATATTTAATAATCAACATAAGAATAAAAGATATCAAAATTATTGGATGTCTTTCCATAAAAAGGAAAGAATTATATTACTAAATTTGTTTAAGAAAATGATAAAGATAAATCAGTTGATTAATTAATTGAAGAATTATTATAATGATATTAATGAAATAATTAATTAAAATTGATTAATATATGTATGGGTATTATAATTCTTATTAATTTACATTAATTGATATTGGAATAATATTATAAATTTTGATAATGTAATAATACAATTTGGCAGATTTCTCATTCAGTTTAAAAAACTAAAATGATATTGATGTTGAATTACAAAATGATGTTATTAGAATAAATTCTTCAGCAGCTGATATTTCATCTGAAGAAGAAAATGATTTGGATAGAAAAATATAATTATTATATAGTAAAACTAAATAGGGCTTATAATCAATAAAGAAGAGATAAATTTCAGAATAAATAAAGAGTTCAAAAGATCTCACTAAGATCGGTAGTTATCTTGTTTGTAGTAAATCTCTTCCATTTGTTTAATTATTTGTATAAAACAAAGTCTTTACTCGTAATGATAGAATAAAAGGATTTACTGCAATTCAATCTCCTCAATACAAAAAATAAGCAGATATAAGTGATAATTAATAATAATAATATGAAAAATAGAAATCCAATTAGAAAATACATTACAATAGTTATTTTAGTGTTCCAAAAAGGAACATATGCTATTCTTATATCAAAATTTGATAAATAATTTTATTGTATTTTTTTAGTTTTATATACNTGATAATGCATAAAATACAAATGAAATGGATTTTAGAAATAATAAATAACTTAAAGAATTAATTGATGAAATTATTGATTAAAAGCTAAAAGATTTAGGATTAATAACAAACAATAACAATTAAATTGATCCATTTGATTATAAATTTAAATTGACTATGAAAAATCTTGTATATATTGCTAGTTCAAATAATAACCTTAATATTTAATTAAGTTTAAAAAATAATGGTAAGAAGAAATGGTATAATCCATATATAATAAATAAAGAAATAAATTTACTTTAGAAATTTAAAGATTTGTCTCCAGGTTAATCTATTTAAGTTAATATTTCTATTCCATTCATTCCTTAACATTTTAATGAGAATAAAAAACATCTTTATAGTTTCAAAGTAAATATAATACTTTATAATATTAGATCAATGTTGAAAATGAATAAAGATAATAGTTTGAAGTAGATGGTTAAATTCCAATCTTAGTCTAGGCTCCAATTGATATTTAATAATCAACATAAGAATAAAAGATATCAAAATTATTGGATGTCTTTCCATAAAAAGGAAAGAATTATATTACTAAATTTGTTTAAGAAAATGATAAAGATAAATCAGTTGATTAATTAATTGAAGAATTATTATAATGATATTAATGAAATAATTAATTAAAATTGATTAATATATGTATGGGTATTATAATTCTTATTAATTTACATTAATTGATATTGGAATAATATTATAAATTTTGATAATGTAATAATACAATTTGGCAGATTTCTCATTCAGTTTAAAAAACTAAAATGATATTGATGTTGAATTACAAAATGATGTTATTAGAATAAATTCTTCAGCAGCTGATATTTCATCTGAAGAAGAAAATGATTTGGATAGAAAAATATAATTATTATATAGTAAAACTAAATAGGGCTTATAATCAATAAAGAAGAGATAAATTTCAGAATAAATAAAGAGTTCAAAAGATCTCACTAAGATCGGTAGTTATCTTGTTTGTAGTAAATCTCTTCCATTTGTTTAATTATTTGTATAAAACAAAGTCTTTACTCGTAATGATAGAATAAAAGGATTTACTGCAATTCAATCTCCTCAATACAAAAAATAAGCAGATATAAGTGATAATTAATAATAATAATATGAAAAATAGAAATCCAATTAGAAAATACATTACAATAGTTATTTTAGTGTTCCAAAAAGGAACATATGCTATTCTTATATCAAAATTTGATAAATAATTTTATTGTATTTTTTTAGTTTTATATACTACTTAAAAATTTATAATGAAAAGCAGAGAAGATTCAGTGTCTATAAGAAGTGATGAAGAATCGTTAGATTTAGATTGTAGAATTATGAAACCAAAGTTTAAATAACCAGATTATGATACATATTAAACAGAAACTAATACCTCTGTTTATAAAAGAATAATGGAGATTAAGTCTAGTTCAAGTGAATATAAATTTAAAACATGTCATGAAACTATTTTGTCAACAAATCAATATGGATGTATTAGAAAATCAAGTGATTGTTAATTTTAAGAATTCAATGAAGAATAATAATAAACAAATAACTAATTCATAAACTAAAATTTCGATATTATTTTGGGTAAAGATAAAACAAGAAAGAAAAAAAGTAAAAAAGGATCTTTATATTCTATATAAAGTTAATCTCAATCTCCTATTTCTAATAAACATTAATAAATTTAATTATTAGAAACATAATCAAAAAAATCTCAAAAATCTGTCAGCAAAAGTTCAACAATTAATCTATCAAAAAAAGGTATGTGCAATTCTTAAGAAAAAAAGATTGGTCATACTTTAGATTATCAACCTATCAAATAAGTATAGCGATCTATTAATATGTCCCATTAATTTGATTAATTTAAAGATCCAATCTAAGATAAAATGAGTATCAATTAATTGAATAGATATTCTTTGAATGAGAATAAATTAGGATAAATGTATAGAAATACAAATCATTTCTTACTTACTGCATCATAACCAAAAAGTATATTAAAGAGTAAGTCTGTATGTAGTGAAAGTAGTAATGGAGAGAATAGTAGTAAATACAAATCAATGAAATCATCTATATTTAAGAAAGTTACATTCGAGTCAATCAAATATTAAAATAATATGAAATAATCTCTTCACAATTAATAATAATTGATTATAATATAATGAATATTTAATATATATATATACTTAAATTAATTATTATTGTTATCAATCATAATAAGATACAGTCTCTAAGTGTGCTTTAGATTGTATTTCCTTTAATATACATCTCTCAAAAGTACATACTTCATCATATTGATCTCCTTTACTTTTTACAATAAAAAAATTAATTAAGTCTCTTTCTTCATAAAAATGTTTATTTTATTTAAAATTATACATTTCAGTTTAGACTGACTGATTATTAAATTAAATAATATTTTAATATTAATTATTTTATCATATCTAATTCACTTACTATTTCTTCTTATATTGATATTATTCTACATTTATTCTTAAAAAGAATCTCATATTTTTAATCCAAAATACATTTATAATAATTTAATTTAAACCAAAATTATATATAAGTCATTAATCATTCTTTATAATTTTAATATATATCCAATTAAACACTGCAAATATTATTACAATAATAGACACTGTTAGGGTGACAAGTTGCCAATAGTTTAGAGAATCTTTCATTTCAACACCACTTTAATATTATCTTTATTCTGGTTATCTTATTTATGTAAAGTTGCTATTATCTTCAATTAATGAGCATTTTTTATGACATGATAACTCAAAGAAAAAGTATTTGTAAAAATGATATACTGTCTATGTATTTTTTCTTGAAGTTGTAGAATTCTCTTAAATTGTTCTATACATTATTTTTGCTCTTTCATCTAATCTCATAGGAACCTATATATATATATTTAAATCTACATAGTTTATTTGAATTATCTCTACAACCTTTGTTTCTTGTTTTTAGATGTAAAAATTGTTAGGCTTTATTTTGTAATTTTGAGGATTTGACAATTCTATTTGAATTTCAAGTATATTCTATGAGATATTTTTAATTTTAAATTCAGTCTAAATTTACAAAGTATTCCTATTATAAGCAAATGTTAGTTTGTTTTAAGCGGAGAACATTAATAATTCTTCCATTTCTTTTTTTTCTTATAAAGAGTACTTCAAAACAAATAATTAAACAAATTAAAACAAAATTACGTTATTAATTAAATATGAAATCTAGGCTTCAAAATGGAAATTATTTTTTGAATAAAGATTTCATCTATTATCACAGACCATAAATACCTGTTACAATCCAATCAAAATCAGCAATTGAAATTAAACCAATTCCGTAACCAAGTAATCATCAAAAAAAACAGAAAACCATTCACTATTATGATCAATAAAAATTTGAATAATATACATCTACTAAAACTAAACTCTATGATTTATTAAGTTTAAGATAAAGTAAATATAACCAATCATTAAAGCTAATAGGACACCAATTCAAAGAAGAAGATAACCTGAATCTTCTCTTATAGTTAAAAGAAATCCAGAGATTTTTACATCAAATGTTGAAATAAATGATATCAAATAAAAAGTCAAAACCTTCAGTCAAGAATGTCCAAGAACTTAATAAAAAATTACAATAGTTCAACATTCATCATAATTAGCGAGTACATAAAAAAGAAATCATAATCATTCGAAATCTACTAATAATAATAATAATAATAATACCTCGACTCCTTAACTCAATAAAACAGTCTCTCAATTTTAATGTTTTACTCCTCTAACAAATTAAAAAAACAATAATTCTTAATTGGATCTGATGCAAAGAATCAAATAATAAAAATTAGAAAGTCTTATCAATCTTATTATCAATAATCAACTTAATAATATTGTACATGGCTTTACACTCATTAAGAATACTGCTCCTTTACTACGTTACATAAAAGATCTGGAAAGGAGAAAAGCAGAATTTAAATAAAAAAGATTTCAAATTAAATTAATCAAAATTAAATGAATAACTGAAAAATTAATAATAAAACTAATTTAATTGTATCATTAAATATCTATATTATAATTAGATTGATTTATAAACAAAATATATAAATAAATATCAGAATTGACTATCAAGAAGATTTGTATTCTGCCATTAAATCAGATCAACAAGCTTCTCAATATTTGTTTAATATAATTATAATAATTCCTTTTATTCTAATTTCTTTTGAAGACTTATTGCTATTTAATTCATATTTTCCTTCAATTCTAAATAGAGTTCTTTAAAAATTTATAGAATTTCCTATATCTTTGAAACATAAATCTAAATTTTCTCATCATTAATTGGTGATATTATATTTAAAGGTAATCTATCTCCTTAATTTTAAATTGGCATAAATGTTTCCTCTGAATGTAATGAAATGTATTATTTTTCAGGATCAAAATTCCATCCATATCTTTATAAGAATTACAATAATTTATCACCCATTGTAACATTTTCACCTATGGCAGCTAACATAATAGTTAAACAAAAAGAACTAACACCTCCAGTATAAGAGTCATTTAACCCTCTTTACTTTAAAAATTTCTTTAAGACTATGGCTACTTCTGTGAAACCTTTTACTGAATTTCCTATTTAACGTTGATAATCTGTTGAAAGAAGTCCAACATGATAACCTTAGTATCCATACATTGGGTATGGTTATTGTAATTCAAATGTGATATCAATTTAAATGTTTTAAGCTTTACTTAAAAATCAAATCAATACATAATTCTCCATATTTTAGATTAAATTAGTCAATATTTCTATGATTCATCACATAATAAAGAGGATTTCCAACAAATTCTAGAAATCCAACAGAAGGATCAATTGTAATTTTGAGTAAAGGAATAGTTGCTTAAAATATATGTCTAAAAATTATTTAATGATAAATACTTGTAACTTATAGCCCATTTCATTTAGGAGAATACTTCTAATAGTTTTCTCATAGGATCAAATAATTATGCTTTAGTAAATACAGGTAATCCAAAAACTACCATATCAACATCACTATCATAAAGTGCTAGTCCTGTTCTTGAAGAACCAAAAATAACAGGTTCAACTTAAAATTAGAAAAAATGTGCTTTAATAATATGTTATACTCTTAATATAGCTATTTCTCTTGCTGTTCTAAATTTGAGTAAATTATCTTATTCTTTTTAATAGATTGATTAAATATCCCTTGAAATTTTATGTTCTAAAATACTCTAATATATTTTTTCAAGAGTTTCTTTATCCAAATCATATTTATATGTTTTTTATTCTTTACTTGCACTTTTGACTAAACCAGGTTTCTAAGGAATATTATCCTATTCTTTTTTTTAAGAAAGAGTTTTAGTGGGAGTAGTATTTCCCATTTTATAATCATCAGATAGATAATTTTATTATGAAGAATTTGATTTTTTCATTAAGATAACTTATTTTTCAACTTAATCTTCTTTTTATTCTTTCTCTTTTTTATTATTTTATTTTTTTTTTTTCCCATTAAATTTCTTTTTAGTAACTTCAATAAATTCTCCATCATCATCATGTGTAGAAGTAGTTGTATAAAGTAATATCTCTTAGACTTATTCTTATATTTCTTCTTCTTCTTTTTAAATTTCAATTTAAACTGAAGGTTCAAATTATTATGTTTAAACACTTTCACTTGATTCTACTTACTATATTTCAGGTAATTTTTTAATTTTTTTCTTTTCTTAATTTCTAATATATATATGAAATAATTACTCCTTTCTTCTTTGTTTTTTCTTTTGATTCTTTGTTTATGTATCATTAATCCATTCTTCATCAAATTAAATTTCTTATTATTATTATAACTATTAATATTCAGTACAATTAGATGTACATTCACTCATATATTGTTTTTTCTGATTTTTAGCCTTTTTCTATTTTTACTTTTTGAATTTCTTTTGATTTTCTAATTCTAAAAATGTTTCATCCATAAGTCTTTTCATAAATTAAGTAGTATATTCATATAAATTATTTTCTATTTCTTCATTATTTGTACTAAATAATCTTTAATCATTTTCAGGTAATATTTTAGATTTTGAAGAGTTTTTAAATAAATTATTTAATTATTGTAATTATTATTAAGTTTATTTATCCTATTTTGGTTTAATTCTTTTAATATCAAGTGCTTAAGTTAAAGGAAATTCTTTAAGTAATGTTTTAGAAATTAAATATTTACAAAATAGTACATATTCATTTAAAACTTATTTAATAGGAACTTAAAATAATTCTTTTGGTTAATTAAAATAGTGTTAAACTTCTTAACAAAGGATTTAATATTATAAAGGATTTAATTTGATCTATTCATTCCAAGATTGAATTAAGTTCAGTTCATTTATTTATTATTTATGATTTGATTGTTAGGTAAATAATTATTTAAATTCAAGGAAGGCTTAATTTAAGTTTAAGGAAAGATAATTAAATCTCACAAGATTCAAATTTAATATATTTTTATTATAAGTGTAATTAGTTCCATCTTAAAATTAACGATACCTATTTTATATAATTGATTATGTACTTTAATAAGATTGCAATTTAGAATTCTTCAACCAATAATTCAGACAATGTTTAATAAACTTTCTATTTTTTAAGGTTAATTTCAAAATATCCTTCATCTTCATAAGATTCCAATTCTCCACAATTTGTAAATATGGTACCATTAGATATTACTTCAAATGAATTTATAATTTGTTCAACATCCCCTCTTAATGTAATGGTATCAAATAACCATTCATAATCAGACACATATATGTGATCAAGGATGTACTTTAATTTATTGAAATTTATGATATACCTTATGTGCATTTAAATCAATCTTATTTAAACGCTTACAATTTTAAATAGAATAATATCTATTAAGTTCCTATACAACATTAACTTCAAAAGGACTACATAATAATTCTTAATATTCATGTAGTCCATTTTGATCTATCTTGAACATTTTAAGATATGAATAAACTCTAAAGTAAGATGTAAATGAAAGCACTTCTTCCAATTATTCCTAATTTAGTTGTCTCAACCTTTAATTTAGAAAGATTGTGATACCAATCGAATATTGATTATTTTAGATCGTTAGATTTTAGTTTTATTTCTGGTAAAGGATTGCTATAGTAAATCACTTTATTAATTTGTCTTGTTGATGTTCTATATACTTAAGTTAAAGGATAGAAAATCTGGTTCATAAATAAATTTTTTTCTAATATTTTCAAATATGATAAAATAAATTTGGGGGATGTTTTTGTTGTTTTTAATTGTACTTGAGTATATGCAAAATATATCATCATCTGTACCTTCTGAGGGAAATTCTGTTTCTTCTAGCATAATTGGCTCTTCTTGATGGTCTTGTTTAATTATTTCTGTGACCCTTTACTCTAAGACCTCTACTCTTTCTACCAGCAGATGTTAAGCCTAAAATTATAGAAATTGCATATTATACCTCTTAATTCTCTGTGTTTGTGAACTGGTTAGGTAATCCAATTGATTCTTGGATCTCCTCTGATAGCTGAATGGAATGGATCAACTGTGATGACCTCATAATATTTATATGTTCCATCTTGAGCCACCCAATATGAATTTAAAACTCTCAATGCTCCAATTTTTCTTCCAACTCTCTCTTCAGCAACTGATCTAAGATTTCTGGTTGGCTTCAATTGATTAACTCCTTGACTCTTGGGTTTACCCTTAACAAGACCCTTTCTGATCAACAATTTTCTTCCACCTCTTCTGACTCTGACTCTGTAAATTACATAACCTTTAAAAGATCATTTTAAAATCTAACCTTATTTGGCCTTGTAACCTAATCTTCTGGCTTTATCTGGTCTGCTGGGTCTAGTTGCTCTATGAATGACTGGCAATTATCTGTATTCCCATGTTCTGATTCTCATGATGAAGCTGAGGACATCAGATTATTTCTTTTTCCAAAGCTCTTGTAAATATTTATATGCACCCATTATGAAAGAGAAAAAAAGATTTTTATTTATTAAAAAATTTCAAATCGATATAAACAAGCACACTAAATATACACAGATTTAAATTTCAAAAAATAGCGTAAAAATATGTCATCAAAGTTCGTACTTGAAGAGATTATTGTTCAAGAAATTTAGATCAAATAAATTGCTATCATCATATTAATCCCATTTTGTAAGTTACCCTTACAAATTTGATTTTATAATACTTTAAGGGGATTCAAATCTTTTATATTTTATGATATCTGTTCTATTTAAACTTTTTATTTATTATAATTGACTAATTGATCTTTATTTGATTGTTTTAGGTTTTATTGAGCATTACTCTATATTAAAACCTAAAGTAAATGGACAAGGTCGAAAAGCCCTTTAATTTTTTATTTTCCTCAATGTAGACATGGCTCTCAATATCTTTTAATCATTTACATAAACTTTCTAATTCGGAGTAAATTATGCTTAGTGTTAGGAGTTATTTTTATTATGTTCCTCCAATATTTAATGTCTAGGTTAAATAGTGCTAAAACTTTCCAATTATATTCCAAAACTCATCTACAATTTCTACTTACCCTAAGAATCTGCTTAAGCAGTCGAAGGACGTTTTTATCTTAGAGGTGTGATTTATTTTTATTATTTTACTATTTTCTCCTTAACTCTATTTCTGCTCAAAATAAATTAATATAGTCCATGTTCCTAAAACTTTTACAATTATAAACTTTAATTATTCCCAATATTCTTTTGACTACACTACAAATTATTTTGATTCAACATTATAATATATTATATATTTAAGCCCTTTATATAATAATTATTAAATCAATAATCCATCCTCAAAAATTAAATAACCTTATTAATTAGATGACAATCTAAATTACAATAATTTTCCATATATTTAGCTTATGACTTATGGATTTGCTTTTAGAGTTATATTCTAAAAATTTAATTGACTTTCTTAGTGAATTATTCAATTTTGTCTAGACAATCTTCAAGATCTAACTTTTATTTTCATTTGCAAGTTCATCAGAAACCTAATGATTTGATGAATCTATATCATTTACTAAATCTTAATTATTTTATTATAGCGTAAAATTTCATGTTTTTAATTTCAATTAAAAGTCTATCATTTTAGATTTAATATATTCATAAATTACTCTGTATTTTAATGGAAATACTACTCATAAGATTCTTAAGTATCTAATATTGAAATATAGTAAAATTGAAATTCTTAAATCAATTAAATATAGCAGTTAAATATGTTAATAACCTACTTCAACTCTTATTAACATATTTAACACAATAAGATATGTACTTAATATTGTTTAAGTTAATAATTTTATTTTCAAGTATTAATATTATCAGGTGTTCAAATAATTGAATAATCTTGGCTTAACCATTCCTCTCATAGTAGTTCATTAGGTTAATTAGGCCTAAAATGAAGATCTATATTATTATAAATGTAATTTTACAAAATTCTTTTTAAAGTTATTATTTTTATGAGAAATTAAATACTTATTTTTTTGAATAAAGGATAAATGATTAATTTATTGATTAGTGTATTATTATTACTCTAATTAAATGTTAATTATAATAAATGATTTACTGAGATAATATTTAACATTAGAAATGAAAAATTGTATCAATTTATTTATATAAAACTATAATTATATCAGTCGCCAGAATTGAACAATTGATTATGAAATTATTCTGCCATTTTTAGTGGTTATTTATTTGTTTTTAGATCAATAACTTCCCCTGGTTTCTCTTATTGATTAAGATTGATTTAAGCAAGAGGCTAATTTTATTATTAAACTGGGGGTGCTGCTTATTATTAGGCTGGCTAGATAAATTGTTGAATAGGTTGCTATAACTACTGCTATTTAAGTAATTAAGGGGGATTTGGATAAGGATGTTATTAAGGGAAGGGCATAGGATGAATTTGTTATGAAAGAAACTATTAGTTTGGCAACATCATTGATTAAGCATATTATGGTTAGAAATTGAATTGTTGATTTTGGAATGGCATAATTGATGGAAATCCTGAAGGAAGTGGTGGTAACTAAGGCATAGTCATAGTCTCAATAGCTGTTATAGGATTGAATTTTTAGAGAATAGGGAATCCTTAAAGAACTCTAGTAGGAATTGGTGAGCTAGAATTATAATGATTTTATTGACTATTTGGTCTTTCATGTACAACTCTTCTAATGATTTGTTATTATTATTATTATTATTATGGTTTGATTGGTGATACTTATTTAGGCTGTTTAATTTGATCTCTTGTAATGAATATATAGGATTGTAATTAATCTAGAATAATTTAGAGTTAAGATGGTCTAATTTCTACTTGATCTAATTCATTTTTGACTTAATCTACAAATGTAATAGTCATTTCATGTTAACGTTAATAGACATCTTCTGGTCTGCTTTATCTATAAGACTTTATTAGAGTTTTTAGACATTTCTCAGAATTCAATTTCTATAATCTTCCTTACATATTATTCCATCTATCATAGGATAATCTATGAAATTAATTAATTTCATTGAGTAATTAATCAGTTTATTTGATTGATTATGAATTTAGATTGTTTTCTAGATTTTACATAAAAGTATCTATTGCCTTATAGAATTATTCCTTTGCTTCTAAGAATTTCTTTTTCTAAACTTCTCTATGATTTTTAACAAGATTCTTTAATTCTACTACATCTTCAATGTCTTCTCCTAATAGATTACAAATGTCAACGATTTTATTATATTGTTCACCAAGACAATAACTAAGTAAATCAAAATGGGGAGCATAGTCTTATCCCAAATGGTCATCTTAATGGATAGTAACACACATGGGACAAAGTGGTAATAGACAATCACTATTATGATAATTTAAAAAAAGTTTACGGATTTTTGCAAAAGTTTTAAATGTATTGGTCTGGATGATAATGGCAACTGACAATTGGAGTACTTTATTATGCATTATAAAGAATATGCTTTAATTTTTAAGGTTAAAATGTTGGGATTGGTTGTTATGGTTATTATTGTTATTATTGTTATTATTAGGGTTAAATATGTTAAGAGGGTTAAAGTGGTGATAATGCTCTTGTAGGAGTATTAGATCTATCAGATGGTCTTTAAGAATCAACATCAAATATCCTACTTCTTGGTTGCCTCTAACTTGAATTCATAATTATTATTTTTAACGGATATTAATAAATATGTTCCTATATGTATCAATCATTATTATTGAATTTATACTTATTTTCTATGATTTTCAAGTTAATTAGGATATTAATTCCACTATCATCTATCATATCTAACCTATTTAAAAATTAACTTTATTAAGATCTTGTTAAATATCAAAATTTAGACTTACTTAACTCTAGTAGGTAAATAAATCAATAAATTTTGCACTTTTTATAAAGAAGAGGTGTTGTGATTATTCATTTCACAAATTGATTAATATTCAAGATAAGTAAATGTAAGAATTTAAAGTCATAGACATAAGAGATCTGAATATTTTCAAAGGTAAACATTATTCCCTAAGATTCTAATATCTTAAACATCATATATATTTTTATTTGTAATAGAAGGTTAAACATTAAAATATGTCTTTAAGAAGCAAGTTTAATTGCAGTAGAATTAAATTTAACAAAAGGATAACATAAGATTAATGAGATTAAAAAAATGAAAATCAAATTAACTAAAAGAAACAATTATTAGGCAAAAGTTAATCATTAATGTTAAATATATCGCGCTAATTACTTTCTTAAATCTTTAAAAAAATGATAGACTATGGAGATACTATTCAAATGTAAACAATCTATTATTTTTCAATTTAATATGATGATGGATTTAAAGCTGAAAACATTTAATTACCCATAAAAAAAAATATCATTTCTTTACTTAAAAAGAATAAACTTTTTCATTTAATTCTGTGTGTAATTTTTTTAATTTTTACTAGTGTTTTTATTGAAATTTCATAGATCATAAATAGAATTTATTAAGACATTCCATTAATTAACATATAATTAAAATTATTATTACTTTTTATAGAACTTGACTCTTTAGAAATTAAAACTTCAAAAACAGGATATAATTATAGACAAAAACTATATCTAAAAAAGGATAAAGATGTCAAAATAAAAATTTAGAGTCTCTAAAATTAAATAACCTTTTTAATACAATTTTAGTTGTCTGCATTTTGGAAATCTATTAATCTTAATTAGGCTAAATTTATTGGGTTGTGTAAATTTTTACTAAATTCATAATATATGAGATCTGTAATTAAGAAAGGATGAAAATTATATGAAAAAAAGAGGTTTATTTTATAATTTAAAAAAATTATTCTTTTTAAATTCAAGATATACAACATCTGAATAATTATAACGGATTTAAAGACAAGAAAAAAAAATCATTTAACTTTTAAATCAGAATGTTAAATTTAAAAGAAAAGCATATTTAATATATATATTATTTTTTAATTTTATGAAATTTTAAAGAATTCAATATAAAATGATTGAGTGAGGTCAAAACCAGTAATTTTTTTTTTTTATAAATTTTATTTAAAAATGAATAAACATTAAGAAACTACCCTCATACAATCATGCCCATATAAATTATAGCTCTTGAGGTTTCATAAACAATAAATTGCAAATCTAATCAAATATAAAGTTCAGCTAGCAAAAAAAATTGCTAAGATTAAACAACATCCCTGAAATGATTTTGTTATAAATTTTGAATAAATTAACATTATTGACTATTACAATTAGTGAAAATAAATAGCTTTCTATTAGTATTCATCATATATTATGAACTATTTTAAATTCGTTTTATTCTATAGCGTTTTCATTTATATATTTTTATATATTTATATATAGAAAAAGTGTGTAATTAAAACTCTTCCTTATTTATTGACAACTGAAATGAAAAGTGCAAAATTAAATTAAATGTTAATAGAGTCCTTGGTTTCTTAATAATTTGATTAAATTTAATGCAGAAAAGTGATGAAAAGAATATTCCTTTATATATTTATTTATTTTATGAGTAATGAAATAACAGAATTTATACGGCATGTAGATAATTTGAAAATAAATCCTGAGAATTTAATACTTGACATTTATTTGTGCCTTTTAAAATATAAGCACATTTTTTTTTTATCCTTATATCAAAATAAAAATAGAAAACTATAATATACGGTAAAAATAGCTAGTTATTATATAAAGAAGTAAATATCTAGATTAGTTAATATCTTAAATTTTTAGGAATTTAATTAATTATTAATAATTAGCATAATTTTATGAGAATTTCTTATTAATAACAAATTATTTAAAAGGGCTTTAGTTCATATTTTAAATACTATAGTTTCTGATCAAATTTCATAATGTATAATAATGAAGTGCTTTTAATTAAATATATTTTGAAGTAATAAAGAGTATTAATTATTATAATTAAAACTGCATTTATCAGCAATATCTGATAGTTAGATGGATTGCCTTATAGTTTGATTGATACGATGTAATTATTAGAATAAATGAAATTAAGTGATTAAAATGATCAATAATAATAATAATAATAATATTTAACAGCTAGATGTTTACATCAACTCCAAAACTAAAATCATACTCTTCATAACAATTACTATAAAATACATTGTAGTAAAAAACATTTTAGCAACCAATATTTGGAGATCTAAATCCTTCTACTCCCTAAAAATTTAGTATTGTTAAGAACTTAAAAGTGCTTAACGCTCCATCATAATAAACTGAGAGCAGTTTTAGACAGAGCAATGGTAAGCGGATTAACACTCAAGAGAGTCCTTCTGTTAATAAGGAAAATATAAGCTATAGAGTAGAGACATCTTAAATAGAGATTCAACTTAGACATGTTTTATAGGAGAACAAAAAGTTAAATGATTTAATTTAAAAATTAACAAGAGAGAAATAATAGTTGACAATTGGAGACAAGAATACTGATTTTATTCTAATAAAACAAAGAGTTGAAAGACTTGAATCAGTAATTGATTAATAAAGTGATGAGATAGAAGAATGGAAAAAAAAATATAAAGAAGTATGTGAACAAGATTAAAGGAGTATTTCAATAGAATAAATGGTATTAAATATATTAAACTAGGAATAATAAATGATATCAGTAATAGAAGAAAATGAGAAGATTAATGAATAAAAAACAAAAATGCAACAATAAATTCGTATTATGGAAAAAGATATGTAGTAGCTTAAATTTCAAGTTGCTGATTAAAATAATTAGATTATAGCATATGAGGAAGAGAGGATTAAAATATTAGATCAATTAAATAATAATGTTCTATTAATGAAACAACCCTAATAATAAATGAATAATAAAGAATATTTTTTAGAATAAATATCTTTATTAGAATAAGTAAGAAATATTTATATAATATAGAACATATCTGATTTGTAATCAGTTTATAATGTCTAAGTATTAGAAAATTAAAAGTTGAACTAAATGATTATTGTATTGAATGAAGAACTACAATTTGTAAATAAATAATTAGAAGAGATGAAGAAGGATCATAAAATTGAATCTAATCAGAAATTCTAAGCAGTGAAATCAATTTTAGTAAAACTTCGTTAAGAAATGAATAGTTGATTATTCTTATTTGTTATACTTTGTTTAGAAAAGAGATTCTATTAGATATGTACCATTTATGTAATATATATATACGCACTTCATTATAAGGCTGGAAACTCATCTTAGTTTTAGGCCTTCTATTATTTCTTGGCTTTTGATTCCTAAAAAAAATTTAAATTATTTAATACTTCTGCTTGTTTCTCTTATTCTTCTTTTTTGCCCCAGTTTTCCCGGTTCAAATAATACTCCTTACGCTCTTAGATGCTATTGACAACCTTGTCAAGCTCAGTTATGTAGAATGGAGTTGCCACTTTAACTGTATCGAAGAATTAGAGAGTCTACAAATCATGTTATAAGATGCTTGGTTTTTCATCTTTTTTCTCTTCTTTAGCCTCTTTTTATTATTGTGGTTGCTTAGATTAAAATTTAATATATACCTTATTCTTCTTTTTGGATTTCAATTGACTAAAATTATAGATATCATCATCTGTATCCTTTTTGATAACAGTGCATTTCTCTTTCTTCCAATCATCACTCTTTAAAACTTATTCAACATCTATTTATTTTTATTATTAGGCTTATTATTAAGCAGCTGTTGGTTTAAGTTTATTGCAATATGTAATTAAAGTTTCACATAGATCTAATAAAATATTTAAAAAGAATAGATACCAACTTAATATTAGAATGGATTAACATTTTCTAATTCTTTTGCCTTAGCTTCAGCTTCAGCCTTTTCTTCAGCTTCTCTATCAGCTTCTCTTTTAGCTCTAGCTTCTTCTCTTTTTTTTTTTTCTTCTTCTTTCTTCTTTCTTTCAGCGTCTCTCTTAATTCTATTGATTTAATTTAAGAACCATTCTCTATATTTTTATAAATCTTCATAATCTTCAAATTTATCCCATTAATTATTGTAATCTTTCTTTAATTTTTCTTTTCTTTCTTTCAATTCTTATACTTTAGCTTCAACTATTTATCTTTCTTTGTCAATAAGTGGATTTTATTTTGTAACAACTGAATCTTTTGTACTATCCTTTAACTTTTCATAATCAGATTTGTATTAATTAATTTCTTCATTCAAATCTTTAATGCTTTAATAAAGAGAGCTCATAACTTTGCCAATAGCTGCTGATTTAGTTCTTAACACTTTTTATTCTTTCTCCAACTTTTATAATGGTTCAATATATGGAAGTGATCTTTCTAAAGCACTTATTTATTAAACGATTCTCTTTTCTTCATTTGCACTTAATTTATCTTATTAAAGTGATTCCTTCAATCTAGCCAATTCATCAATAATTCTATCTGGATCATCTAAACTCTTCATCTTTTATCTGTATTCTTAAGCTTAATTAAATAGTTTATTAATATGATCTTTAATTTCATCATTCTCACTCTTCATTTTCTTTAATTCTGATGATTTCTCATTTACTAATTTAATCTTATCTCCAATAACTAATCCTAATGGTTTCACTTCATTTTTGTACTTCTCTTCATTTCCTTGTCTAGCCATATTTTATTATTCCTTAACATTTTTTACAAATTCATTCTATTAAATTAACAATAAACTCTTACGAAATGATTCCATTGTTTTCTGATATCTTCATCGATCTTATCCAATTATTTGTAATGCTCCTCTTTATTTGGTTTTTAAGGAGGATGAGCAGGTAATTCTGGTACTTTACTTTCAAGAGTAATCTTAGTCTTATCCCAATCGAATTCAGGACGCTTTCTCTCCTCTCTTTATTTCTTCTTTTATTGCTTCTCTCCCTAATCTCCTTTCTTTTCTTATTTCTCATTCTAAGCTTCAGTTGCAGCACCTAAAATATATCAAATTAAATTCTATACCTTCCTCACCCTTTACGACATATTAAACTTGTTATTACTTTTGTTTAGGCTCCCTCTTTCTATTCTCTCCTCTACTCTAATTTGGTTTTTTCTCCTCCTTTTAGACTTCTGGCTATGGTGTTGGGTCCATGCAAATTTTTTTTAAAAATATAGATATTTTTTTTAATTGCCTACACGTATTTAATTTAACTCCTAATACAATTCCCATAATTTACATGATAAATATCAGACAATATAAAATTAACAATAAATTACTTTATTTTTCTATTATTTTTGAAATTGAGTCACTCCAAACCATCAATCAACTCTAGAAAATTAGATATCAATGAACTAAGACTATAATAAAAGAACTTTTTTTAAAATACTTATTTTTTCAACAGAACAATTAATTTAACATTTTAAACGGATTTAGGAAGAAGAGAGCTATAAATAAGACTATGTAACCAATTTCTTTAGATAAAATGTAAAATATAATTGTATAATAAAAAAATAAGAGAACTAATTTAATTAAATTAAATTGTCTGTGATTATATGAACTACTATGACAAATAGATATATTAATAAACTATCAATACTTCGAGTCATAAATAACAATATTTTTTATTAAAATTATTAAATATTATTTTTATTTCAATATTCTATACTAAAAAAGTAATGTCAAATATGGATTTATCTAAATATAATTAATTATTTCTTATAATTTCAGATATCTAAACTTCTTTTAAATTAATTCTATAATCTTGATTTTTTAATGAGTTATAAAATTTTAGTAATCTTATGATTTATCATATAGTGAATGAATTAAAATTTAATTTAAAAATATTACAATTATCTTCATACATAAACAATCCAGTCAAAAAGAGAATAACATAATAAAATGTAATTAAATAATATTTTAAAGTAATATATCATATATTTATTATCATTTAAATTTTAAATCATATAAAAAGTTTCTTTGTATACTTATCATATTATCGTTTAATGTTGTATATGAGTAGTCAAAAATAAGAAAAATTTTATATATTTCCCATTTTCAAATGTTCATTATACTATTAGATATTTTGAATTCTCAAATTTTAATAACAGTATTATGATTATCAAAGTAAAACTTAAAAAATAATATCAGTTTGTAGCCTTTATATAAATTGTTTATTTAGATAAAGTTTAGTTAATATTTTTTATATATTAATAATTTTATAAAATGAATTAACCACAGACTAGACAAGTATAGAAGTTAACAATTGATGATAAAGTAAGTAGATCTACATAATATATTTAGTAAAAATTTGAATTATAAAAGGAAATATTTATCACAATCAGATTAATTGATATGGTAGAAAAGTGTGCATAATTGGCTGATGATAAAATAACACCAGAAAAACACTCTTAAGAAATAACAAAATTGATTGAAAGGTACAAAAATTTTACATCTAAAATTGATAAATATGATCTTAACTAATTCATTAAGGTTTATATTTTGATTCTATTGATTAGGAATATGGACTTGAAGATTGCAAATTTGGAATCGACAGAATAAACAAAGGACCTCCATAAATTAAATAAGGAAATAGAATTTAATTAGTTGTTGATCTCATGCAAAGATTCTATTTAATGCAAGATATCATCTTAGAAAACAAAGATAATCCAAAAACATAAATATTTAAACCAATTGTAGATTAGTTGATAATGCTGTTAATCAGAGCCAAAACTGAACTTCCACCATATAAATCATACTTAGAGGATTTACAATAATTGTAATATTAATTCAATATTTTGTTTAGCTCCAAATAACATCTTGAAAATTAGATTATTGGAGTGATACCTGAAGAGGAATTTTAAAAGTTTGAAAGTATAATAGATTTGGCTTAGTAAAGTTTTATGACTTCCCATTAATAACAATGAGCTAAATTGTTTAAAAATCAATTAAATTCTATTCATTTTTAGTTAGTTTCATTATTTATTATACTTTTTTATTATATTGTTAATGTTAAACATATTAAATCATTCTTCCTCTTCTTAAACAACTTACTTTTTCTTTTTCTTTGGTTTTTCAACAACTTCAGGTACTTCAACCTCTTCTTATTAAACTTCTGGTTACTATTGTTCTTTTAGAATATTATTATTTTCTTCAGAAACATAAAATTACTACCAATCTTAAGGAGTATTGGCATTTGGCTTTCCATGTGGATCAAGCAATCCTTCCTTAATTAATGCCTTCTTTCTAAGAGCTCTTGGTCCAGTACCCCATCTAAAATGGATAAAAAATTTATAATACTTTCTAGGATATGTTTCTCTATCCATAATTACTCTCTTGGATTTGCAAACTACTCCATGATCACATGATGCCATTTCACCTGTTGTCATTTGACTAATATATAAATTTATATAAATTACGCTATTGCAACAGCAATTGCTTCTCCTTTAGTTGTAATTAAGACTATTTCATCACCAATATCAATCTTATCATCAAATCTTAATACTCCTGGAACCATTAATTTTGCTCCATAACATATAGCATTAACTGTAGAATCCTTAACTACAACTCTCTTGTAATTTGTCAAGAGAACCTCTAATGGTATGATTACATGTCTTAAATATGATTCATCCTTAAATTTTTCATATCTATATTAGGCATCCAATACATCATGCATTGTTACCATATATTTATTCTCATCCAATATTCCTGATCTTACTCTTCTTAACTCTTCCATATGACCTCCTACTCCCAATAATAAACCCAAATGAACACATAGAGTTCTTACGTATGTTCCTGCTTCACAACTCATCCAAAATATTCCCAATCTCTTTTCAGGGTCATACTCAAACAATTTACTCTCATAAATTGTTCTAACTCTTAATTCTCTTTTTACTGCAGATATTGCAGGTGGCTTTTAAAATACAGCTCCTGTCAAATCTTATATAGCCTTTTCTAACTTAGCTGCTGATGATATTGCATCATGTAATCTATAATATTATCATTATCATAATTACCTTATTATTCCTACGTACTCCTTACCAGCTGATTACTATGCTTTGACAAGTCTTGTTGCTCTATTCAGACACACAATCAATGCTCCTGTAACCTTTGGATCTAGAGTCCCTGAATGACCTGTCTTATCAACTTTTAATATTCTTTTGATCCATGATACAACTTCGTGAGATGATGGATTTGATGGCTTGTCAAGATTAATTACACCATATTTTAAATGTTCAATTAATGGTCTCTTTAAGGGAGTCTATTATATATATTTTCTATCCTTACTGATCCACTTGGAATTGGTGTATAATGTGAGGTCAATATGTTCATCCTTTCATAATTCTTCAATAACAATGGCCAATTTGAGGAATCAATTTTAGGTCCCTAATGACTAGACCTTATCACATCCTCATCTTAGACCTATTCAACTTCTTCAACTTTTTTTGATTTTTTTACCTTTGTTGTAGCCATTGATTTCTTTTTTTAATTATATAAAAAATTTATAATTAAAATGCTAATGTCATATATATTAATTATTTTAAATAGGAGAGTTTCATGTCATTTATATAAAATATACATATATTGATAATGAGAATTATTGGAATGTATTATATAATAATAATAATAATAACTAAATAAATTTGAAAGACTTTATCTCTAAAAGTTGTTAAATTATTTTAATTTCATTAATAATCTCATTCAATATCTTTATTATAATTCATTAATCAGATTCATATACATTTATTTACATTTATTTCTATTAATTATTAAATTATTAAAAATGAAAAATGACTTTCAAGAAATAATTTAAGATAAAGTTAAAGATTAAAAAAATTATGAAAAATTATTGGATGAATAAATAATTTTGTGTAAGGATGAAGAGAATCGTAAATACATTCTCGGAATAGATAATTATTAATATAATGAAGAGTAGAATAAATTTATAATTAAATACAATATCAATGGGAATACAGATAATATCATTTAAGAAGCTAAATCCTTATCTTAAGTATAGCTAAATACTTTAGAAGAAAAACTTAATATTTTTGATTAACTGCTTGAATTAGCAGAGTTTTTAAAAAAGAAAAGGATCCTACATAATAATATTAAAAAAAATAATTTGATTCTTTATTAAAATAAATTATATCTCACAGATTTTGGATATCTATAAAAATAACAATAATCAAATATGTTTATAGATCAAAAAAATTTTGTAAGAACACTTAATAAAGATTAGTAACGATAGATTTATCCATATTAAAGTTAACAACTTTTAGAAATTTTGAATGCGTATTATTTACAGAATGAAGAATTAATGGAATAATTTGAATAAAGATAACAAGAGCATATTTAAAATAATGATTAGCATGTATTAACAGTTTTGATGTTTGAAATATTTTATCATTATGAAAAAGACTACAAATATGATTTATAGAATTCTTTAAATTTGTCTAAAAAAGCAAATAGAAAAAATTAGCTTAAATGGATGAAAGAAAAAAATTCAGATGTGTAAGATTATATACTCATAATAATATAATAAATACTGAAAAAGAGATTTATTATAGATAATTAATTATCGGAAAATTTTCCAAAATCTTTATCAGGTTGTATTTTTTAAATTGATAGAGAAAGTTTAATAAATATTGACAATTAGAAATTAGTTTAAGAATACTTTGAAAATAAAATTTAACAGTTTGATTAGGAATCATTATATTGTTTTACTTATAAAGAACTTTAGTAACTATAAGGTCAAATCTAAAATTCATAAAATTAATTTGAATAAGATTTAAAATAAGAAATAGAAAAAATTTAAAAACTTTATGATAATATTGATAATAAGTAATTGAATAAGGAGAATTTTAAATAATTAGAATTAGAAGAATAGTTCATTTGCTTAGTTTATTTAGATCAAAAAATTGTTGAATTTGATATTAATTAAAATCAAGACCAATCTTAAGAAGTAAAGAAATTATTAGATTATTATACTTTAAAATAAGAATTAAAGGAATTTTATGTTGAAATAAATGATAAATAATAAAAAGATTTTAAATTTAATGATTCTTTTTTCAAATAATATAGGATCTATATTGAGCCTCTTCCTCAATAAATCAATCAATCTTTATAATAATCCTAATTAAATACGCTCTATAAAATTGATAGAGAAAAATTAATAAATATTGAAAATTAGAAATTAGTTTAAGAATACTTTGAAAATAAAATTTTAGAATTTGATTAATAATTTCTATATTATTTTACTTATAAAGAAATTAAGAATATACTCAATCAATTCTAAAATTCATAAAATTAATTTGATTAAGACTTAAAATAAGCAATAGAAAAAATTTTAAAACTTTATGATAATATAGATAATAAGTAATAGAATAAGGAGAATTTTACATAATTAGAATTGGAAGAATAGTTCATTTGCTTAGTTTATTTAGATCAAAAAATAGATGAACTTAATTATAATTAAAATCAAGGCCAATCTTAAGAAGTAAAGAAATTATTAGATTATTATACTAATTTAAAACAAGAATTAAAGGAATTTTATACTTATATAAATAAGAAAGAATAATAAGATTTTAAATTTAATAATCCTATTAAAATAACAAGAAGGATCTAATCTGAGCCTCCTCCTTAATAAATCAATCAATCTTTATCATAATCCTAATTAAATACGCTCTATAAAATTGATAGAAAAAAATTAATAAATATTAAGAATAAGCAATTAGTTTAAAAATATATTCAAAATGAAATTTAAGAATTTGTTTTATAATTAGTATATTATTTTACTTATAAAGAAATTAAGAATATACTCAATCAATTCTAAAATTCATAAAATTAATTTGATTAAGACTTAAAATAAGCAATAGAAAAAATTTTAAAACTTTATGATAATATAGATAATAAGTAATAGAATAAGGAGAATTTTACATAATTAGAATTGGAAGAATAGTTCATTTGCTTAGTTTATTTAGATCAAAAAATAGATGAACTTAATTATAATTAAAATCAAGGCCAATCTTAAGAAGTAAAGAAATTATTAGATTATTATACTAATTTAAAACAAGAATTAAAGGAATTTTATACTTATATTAATAAGAAAGAATAATAAGATTTTAAATTTAATATTCCTACAAAATATAGGATAATTCAAATTGATAAGGAAAAATAGAAATTTGTTTAAGTGTATGATGAAAATAAAAATTTAGTATATAAGTAGGTATTATTAAATTGTTTTACTAGTAACGAACTTTAGAAAATACTCAATCAATTCTAAGATCCATAACATTATTTCAAATAAGATTTAAAATAAGAAATAGAAAAAATTTAAAAACTTTATGATAATATTGATAATAAGTAATTGAATAAGGAGAATTTTAAATAATTAGAATTAGAAAAATAGTTCATTTGTTTAGTTTATTTAGATCAAAAAATTGATGAATTTGATATCATAAATAATCAAGACAAAAATTCGGAAGTTAATAAATTATTATATTATTATACTTTAAAATATGAACTAAAGGAATTTTATGATTAAGTATAAGATAAAATAATAGAGAAATTCAATTTGAAGAATGCTATTAATTTCAATGATATTAGATAATAGCCTCATGATCAATAATGTCATTAGTTCTAATATGAATCTATCATTTGTAGGGAATTTGGAATGGAGTCTGATTTAATCTATGTTTATGATGGAGATTATATAAATGATATGAAATTGGATATTCAAAATTAGTCCTAATTAATTATTCATAAGTTTTTGCCTCATAATAATTAATATTATTGCTAGTATTTAAAAGTTGAAGTATAAAGGAAAAATTTTGAACCAAAGGTTATTACTAACTTTAATTTAATAAAAGAATATTGGTTTGAAGATAACTCAACAGTAAGATTAATTGATCACAAAAAAAAATTCAAATATTATGGAGAATATTAATTAGATGAACAAGGAGAAATTAAATTCAATGGGCAAGGTACTAAAGAAATATTAGAAAAGGATAAAGAGATGCTTGAAACAGGACAAGTATTTAAAGTTAAGGGAAATTTTAAAAATAATTAGTTGAATGGAAAATCGATCACTTTTTATCATCACTATGATGAAAGTAAAATAACTTTTAGTATAGGAGAGTATAAGGATGGGTAAATGTCTGGTCAACATATACATTATCCTTTAAAAGATGAAAATATAATAATAAAAACAACTTATCACTGGAAGTTCCTAAAATATTTTAATTATTATTTTTAAACCAGTTGAAAAGGATTAAAAATAATTGATATTGATATTTTATAATAAAGATATTAATAATTAAGAGTATATGATATATGATAAAAAATCATTAAAAAATTGGTACTTTGTGAAGATGAAAAAGGTTGAGAATTATTTATTAAGTAATTGTCATATTTGAGAATGATCGATTAAAATCTTCATTAAGATCTTCATCATCTTCTTTATAAATGTTATTAAATTACAAATTAGGTAATTGTATTTCCTAATCTATGATTTAATGTTTAATTTTAATATTTTGATTTTGTTTACCAATAATTTATATAATTTTTTATTAAATTTGATTAATGAAATTCCAGATGAATAAATTTCTTAATTATTAATCATTAGAATAATATAATTATTAGAATTGCTAATTATTAATCTTCAATAATTAGATCATAATAAGACTTGAATTAACTTGATGAAATTTATTTCCAAATATATTCATTAAATGAAATGGTTTTTCAAATAAAGATTTCATTTCTTCTGTTAATTCTGTAAAAGTATATTGAATAAATTATTTAATTTTGTTTTAGACAGATGATTTATCTTGATTATCTTTGATAACAGTATAATTAGATAACCATAATTGATTTGTTAAAGTTTTAAAAGTATTTGGAGTGAATGGTATTTTTTGATTATTTATAAAACAATAAATTTCATCTATTATTAATCTATCGCAACCAATAATTTATATTTGATCTGTTATACTAACAATTTCTACCATGTCTGCATAAACAGGTAACTTGTCAGTAAAAGGAACTATAGGGAATTTACCTGATCCATGTGATGCCATTTTTATAAGCTATTTATATCTATCTTCGACTATTCTTAAACAGAAATTTCTTTTATAGCAAATTTGTTTATCAAATAGAAATATAGGCATAGAATGTATTTTTTAATCTTAGAAAACAAATTTCTCATCAGTTTCGCAATACCATTGTAAAAATTGATTAAAAAGAAGATTAATGTTCGGTTCTGTTATCATACATTATTAAAGACAAACAGGACAGTATTGTTAGATCAAGTCATTTTGAAAACATTAAAGACAAAAGAGATGTTAACAGGGTAATACAACAGGATTAATAGGAGTAAGGCCACAATCTAAACATAAAACTATTTATGGAAATTCTGTTTGGAGAACTAAATTTTTGAATAGAAATATAAAAGTTACCTTCAGGTCCTTGTTCAAAGAGTATCAACAGTACTTCTTTTAACATTTCATTGACTGACCATTCAGGTAATGTAGGTTTTCTACATAAAGGGCAAGTATGATTTAATTTCAAATGATGATTGATACATTTTTCACAAAAAGTATGTCCACAAGACAGACAGGTTGGATCACTTAAATGATTCAAACAAATAGTACAATTGAATTGAATTTTTTACATATTAACTTTATAAACAAGAATTTAAGATTAATATTTTCAATATGATTATATTGGAATAATTTAAATTCTAAAGTTTTCTTGTTATTCTGAAACAATTTTAATGGTTACCTGAATTTAAAATAAGCAAAACATTAATATTTATTACATTACTCATTTATAGAGTGAGATAATTAATGTTATTTTATTCATAAAATTAAATCTATAAGATATCTTATTAATTAGTCAAATCACATTAAATTGAAATTCATGAGAATAAAGCAGGAATGTTAAAAAAATATATATATTATAAAATAATGATTTGCTGTTCATCATCAAAGAAGAAAGATGAAAATAAAAAACCAATTGAGGTATCGGAACAATTAATACCTGATAATCATTAAGGTGATAGGTAAACAGATTAGTTATAAACTTCAATATTAGATCCTGTAGAACCAATCAATAACAAGAAGTAGAGTTAGAAATAGAAGAACGACCTAAGAAAAATTCAGTCGGATATTAAGTGCAAGATGAAAATGTATCAGCATCAATATGTCCCTCATTTGTAGTTGGTAAAACTCCTTTTACTCTTTTTGTTATAAGTCTTCTTGAAAAATAATAAAACATGAAAAAGGAGTCTTAATAACAAGAAGAAATAAAGATAGACTTTTAAGAGGATTTAAGTGTCATTGTTAGTTATCCTCAAATAGAGGCTGAAGTTAAAAATAATGAAAAGGATAAATCATAACTTGAAGAAATTCCTGATCAACCTGAAGTAATATAAGAAGAGGATGAAGAAGAAGAAGATCGAGAAATGTCAGAAGAAGAAGCTAAAAATGCAGCCATCTATAAATGGGCTAAAGAGATACATGATTATAATACAGACAATACTGAAGAATTGATTTTAAAGGCTGTTTCTAATTTTAAACCACTTTAATCAAAGGAAGAATCAAGGTCCACCTTAGCACATAAGGATGGAGGTAAAGTCTGCAAAAATAAAAAATTAATTAGAACCTTGAGAGCTATAGGTAAAGAGTTGATCAAATAAATTGGTAAACAAATTTTATCTGGTAATTTAAATTTAACAACTGTGTCATTTCCTATTAAGGCCATGATACCTAAATCTGCACTTGAGAAGGTCTTAATGTCTAGTTGTCTCTTTCCACTTTATATTAATAGAGCAGTTTTAGAGAAAGATCCTATTGAAAGAGTAAAGTATTAATCCTATTATTAGATGAAGCTAATTATTTGTGCCACCTTAGGTAATTTCTATTTGAATTGTTCATTTCTCAAACCTTTAAATCCCATCTTAGGAGAAACTATTTCTGGTTTTTATTAAGATGGCACTACTGCATATGTAGAATAGATCTCACATCACCCTCCAATTAGTTATTTTCTTACTATTGGTCCTAATAATAGTTATAAATTTTATGGTTATTATAATTATGAAGCCAAAGCAGGAGTTAATTCACTCTCCTTAAAAAATAAAGGCAAAAGGTTTTTACGATTTGCTGATGGAGAATTAATAGAATACAACTTTGCAGGAGAAGAATATAGTGGTAGTTTCTGGGGACCTATGAAAGTAGAATGTAAAGGCAAAATTACCTTTTTGGATAAAAAGAATGATATTTCAGCTTGTGTTGAATTAGATAGTGTAAGATGGAAAGCATCTGATTACCTATCAGGAGAAATTAAAAATAAAGGTAAAAAAGTCTGTAAAATCTATGGATCTTATATGGGTTATATTGAATTTGGAGAAATTAGATATTGGGATGTCAATTATATACGTCCATATGAATGCAAAGTCTTTAAACCTAATTAATTTCTTTTAAGTGATGCTTCATTTAGACCTGGTAAGAAATTATTATATAAAATTAGATTTAAGATAACTTAAACGTAATAAAGTATAAGAAGCATAGAAAGAAAAAGATGATCTAGAAATGCAATAAAGATAAGATGCTAAACTAAGAAAACCTAAAAAATGATTTTAACTGAATTATTGTTATTCATATTATGCAAGTAATTTCTTAATTATCTATTTTACTTAATGTAAAAAAATTAAATAATTTATTCTTTTTTTACTGAAAAAGTAATTCTAAAAAATAAAGATTTATTAAGTAATATGATTTTAGAGTTTTATTACATTAAAACTAGTTATCAAATTAACTAGAATATAAATTTTAATTATTTCAAAAAGATTATTTAAAGATTTAATAAAATTAACAATAAATGATAATAAAGAATAATATTGCAATAATTGATTAATAATTTTAGAAAATATTTGAATTAAAACTTATTAAATATTGTTAAATAAAATTATTAAATCATTAAATGAGAGTAAAAAAAGAAATTAAAAGTTTATAAATTCTATATAAAAATAGAATTTAATCAATTTTTTATTCCTAATTATAAAATATATATATATATAGGAATTTAATTCTTATGATATTCAAAAATATTATCTTATTTATTGTTATGATTGATGAAGAAAAGTAAATAGATTTAAATGATCTAAATAATTTTGTTATACAATTATAGGTTTATAGATAAGATCATTTGATAAAATTTCAATGATTAAATAAGTAATTTAATAAGAAACTATGATTTCTGAAATTTTGCATTATTAATTTATATGAATTTAAAATTAACATGATTCATAAATATTGAATAAAATTTGCTTATAAATAAGCAGAATTAAAATTAATATAAATTTAATTGGGTTATTATATTATATATAATTGTGGTTGTGTATATTCATTCATCAATTTTAAGTACAAACCCCAAAATATCTCGAATTCCTACCTAGCTTTGATCGACTGGTTTATGGGAAGTGGCATAATTCCAGAGTGATTTATCATCTATAATGTATCCTTCTCCAGGTTCGAGACTCATTTCAAATAGTAACTTAGTTTTGTCAGGACTATATATTTGGCTATCAGCACCTTAACAGTTAATCTTATTGACTACTCCAATAATTTCTAAATCATTTCCATCTCTATTTGGTCCTTCTGGAGTAGATTGAGCAGGTTAATCAGGATATGATATCTAATGTAAATATAAAGAAATATACTGTTCTGACTGCATGAACAGAGATTTAAGCTTTTTTGTATTATTTTAATTGCCAAGTAATTTGAAGAGTATTATAAAGAAAATCTTTATAGATCTAATCTTGTTTCATCTCTTTAGTTAATTCTTCATAGACATTTGCATATTGAAGACATTTGGTTTCATCATAGTTGTCTAAACGATATTCTTCATGGAACCTTGTCATATTTCCATCTTTATCGAACTCAATATGATAATTCATCATTCTTCTTTATCTCATAATTTTATCAGATGGTAATTTAAGTCTTTTTTGTAAATAAAGATCAGGTATAAGTGTTTCGAAATGAGGTTTAAGCTATTGAAAATCTGATTTGACATCTCTGTTTGTGAATGAAGCAAATGGGAATTTTGTTGATTTAAGTGCCTATAAAACTTTCATAAATAAATTAAACAATAGTCAAAAATAAAACTTATTTATTTTAGATTTTGAATTATGTCTAAAATATATCTATATATATTTAAATATATCTCAAATTAATAAATCATAACTAGTTCAAATTTTATAAGGTGCTAAACTTGATCTTCTTACATCTTCTACTTCTTATTCTTTATCATGCAATCTCATACGTAAACTTTCAACTTCACTAGCCAAAACTACAATAATCTATAATTAATCTTATAGTTTTTTTATTATGGAACCCTCATCAGCATATTACATTCTCCATTATCTTAATTCATCATCTTATACTTTAATTTCATCATTTAATCTATCAATTTCTGCAGATAACACTCTACACTATATAATTTAATATAGATAATTACATTTTCTTAAAATTTCTTTAATTATTCTACTTAATCCTCTAATTAAATAATTTGTTATTGTAATTTAGTTAATAATCTTCTAAGATTTTCAATTTCTTAAGATTTATCTTCTATTGTATTTCTATATTATACAAAAGTGCTTTAAAATTCTTCAATTCTTAAATTATATTCATAAATAATACTTTGTAGTTTAAGTGATAGTAATCTATTCCTTTTGCTTGATAATTTGATTCAATTTATCTACTTCAAGTAAAAGATTTTGATATCTACCTTCAACTTCTTATTTCTTCTTTTAAATATCTTGTTATTCTGTTAACAATTAATTTACTTTGCTCTTTTCACTAAGAAACTCTAATATGAAATTTAGTAAATACAATTATTGGCATTTTCTAATTATTATTTGATTTAATTTTATTATTCCTATCTTTATTTCAATTAACTTTCTAAAACAAGAATAGTATCATTTAATTATTAATTCTCCTATTAGATTCGTTTATAATCATCATTCATTAATTATAATTTAAGATACTTTTATTTCCAATTTTCTGTTTCCTCTGATTTTGAAACCAATAATTTATTAACTCTTTCAGTTTCATTTTTATATGATTATAATTGATTTTCTAATTCTCTTTATTTATTTATTTCCTTTTAAAGAATAACATTTTTTAATTCATCATTTTCCTTCTATTTTTAATTACACAAATCTTTCCATTTCTTTAATTCTCCTTCTAAGAATTCTCTCTAATATTAAGAATTAAGTTCTTATGTTTATATTGCCTTTTCCTATATTATATAAATATTATTATAATACTATTTCAGTTTTCATTTCAGATTCCAATTAATTTCTTAAAACTTGCATTTCATCTAATTTTATAGTCTCAAATTCTCTTAATTATAATGTAAGATTATCAATTTAATTAGAGAGATTTACAACTCTACTCTCATAATAATTATTTTATAGTTCTTTTTATTCATGAATTTCCTCTTATAATGTTGTAATTTGAATAATTAATTCAGATTTCTCTATTTTATGAGTCTCTACAATATTAATCATTTCATTCAATTTATTAGTCAAATCTATTATTTATTATTCTAAATGATGTCTATCTTAAGTATTATCTTAAATTTCTTTAATTCTGAAACGTAATTTTTCATTTTCTGATCCTAATCTCTCAATTTCACAAGCCATTAAAAATTGACATATCTATGGACTCAATTTTTATTATCTACTTTCTGGAGTAGATCTGATATTATCAATTGAAGTTTCATGTATTTGATATCTTGTTTCACGTGTTTAAGGAGTATTAGAACGCACAGTCTTTGTTTCAGAAGTGTACTTATATTCTTAAATGTTTTAAATACGTTGTTGCTAGTATGACATAAATTAATTAATTAAAATTCCAAATAAAATTGAACAAATTAAGATAATTTAACTGATTTTTTTACATTAGTTTATGTGATATAGATATATTATTTAATTTCTAATAATATTTTTATTGTTGAACTAAATACATAATATAAATAATAGTATATTATTATATATATATATTCATTACTATTTCTTTATTCTCTATCTAGATTGATTAAGTTTCTGTTTAAGTTTTGCAAATACTCTTACAGTAGCTCTTATAGTTACTTTGGAGAGTGCCTTACTTAATTCATTTTCAGAAATGAAGAAATTCTCATCTGAAAATTCTTGTTCAATCAATGGTTCTTCTCCATTCATTGTAATAAATGGATGATCCTAAATTAAATATTAATATTATACCATTAGTTATTCAAGTGTATGACGCTATCTTGCATCTTTCTTAAGACAACAATTTAAGAAATCTGCCAAATCTGGATCAGTATCTTTAGAGAATTTAATTTCATTATTTGAAACAGCTTCTTTAAGTTATTAAACATTTTTAGCTGGAAAAGGATGTTCTCCTTAAGTAAGTATAAAGAATGTAATACCAGCAGCCCAGATATCTGCTGGTTTACCTTTAACTTAAGAAGTCTTAAATGCTTCTGGAGGTAAAAATGCTTTGGTTCCAACATCACCTTATATCAAATCAGCAGATGAACTATCATACATTTGTGCAACACCAAAATCTGCAATTTTTAAGTTATCAAATTCATCAATCAATAAATTATCTGGTTTAATATCTCTATGTATAATTCTAGCAAAGTTATGTACTTAATAGTTAATTATGTATTTATACAATAATCTAATCCAAGTAAGAAATGTCTCAAATATTTCCTAATTTTTTCACAACTTATTTTAGGTGGTTTTTCTCCTTCATCCCAATCTATATGAACACCTTCAGATTTCCAATACTATTTTGAATTAATAGATCCTTTTTTAACATGTTCCATTATTAAATATAATTTTCTTTCTTCTGGATCATCTATAACTTCCACTAATCTAACTACATTTTAATGATCAACTTTTTTTAATATTGCTACTTCTTATTCTAATAATGAATATGCAGATGTCTCTTTTGTTAACAATTTACGTTTCAATTTGTTTTTATCAGCTATTTTCATTGCATAATATGATTAATCTATTTCATTATATATTAAACGCACCTTTCCAAAGGCTCCTCTACCCAATTCATGTAAAATTACAAAGTTATTCATTCTCTTTCTTCCTGCTTCATCTCTAGATCTCTCTAATATCTAAGTTTCTTTTGGTTAATGGATTCCACTTAATCCTCTCATTAATCTTACAGATCTTCTTTACTCTGCTGCATTTATTACATTTCTAAATGGATCACCTACTGAAAATGATTGCAATCTTCGTGGTCCTTTCCCCATTGGAACACTTAAAGTATTTGGTATAATTGGTATCTAAGCCTCATCTTAACATTATGATTATGATCGCATTATTCGTGGATTATCAACATCTTCAATCCTTAAATAATGTTCATCTAAATCTAATTTAGATGCATTAGATCCACCCACAATAAAACTCTCAATTTCATTAGGTGATTCTAATATTGATGTCTATGAATTTAAATGTTGTAATCTTGGAGATACAAGGGACATTCTTTTAGGAATAGTAATCTATGAGTTTTATAATCATTATTATACCTATAGAGCATTAGTACTTTCATCTGATACACTTTTTTAAGGAACATGATTGGCAGCACTAATTGGAGAGAGAATAGAACTTCTACCTTGACTATCATAAAATTTAAGTAGTTTTTGACGAGTACAAGGTGTATTGTCTTCATCTCTCTTTTTTTTGAAGAGACTTATCAGATTAGTTTTTGGATTCTAAAGTAAATATTTTCGAATATCCTCTTTAGATTTTTATTTTAAAATAGGTGGAGTTTTTGGAACTTATTCATTTTATTATTCTAATCGTTTCTTTCTTAGAACCTCTAAGAGATTCTATTTATTGTTATTCATAAATTATATTAATTATAAATTTTGAAAAAATACTTATAATGGTCATTATATTTTAATTAAAATTTTAAATTATAAGATTCTTGTTTTCATTATATTATTAAATATTCTTAATGAAATCTAAATATAATTTTTAAATAAGAAATAAATGAATAATATGTTATAATACAACTTTTATTAAATAATTTTCAATATTATTATTATTTTATTAAACTTATATTATAATAAATTATTACTTATTTATACGCATACTAAAAATACTCAAAATAATAATATTAAATGTAATTTATTTTAGAATAAATCAATTTTTTTATAATGTCTTTTTGAATCATTTCATTTAAGAATTTGATTTTTATGTTAAAAATCTATTTAATATATAATTTTTTTTAATAATAACTAGTTTTATTCTAATAGTAATAATTTTAATTATAAAAAAATAAATAAGATATCTTGATAATAAATTATAATATCTTACTGAAATACAATTTAATAATTAAATTAAGTTTCATCCTTAAGTGATTCGTATTTTAGACTCTCAAATAAAAACTTATTTATTTTTCAAATGCCCCTATTATTATTATTTGAATTTCTAGGGGATTCAACAATGTAAAAATTATTAAATTTTTAGATATTTGAATAGAAACTATTAATTAATTAAGTATTAAGGATTTATGGATCGTACTTTCACCATTTTAATAAGTAATTATGGTTTTGAGATTTTTATATTACAAGTTTTTATTTCAAACATCTTATTTCTAAATTGATAAAAATTTGATAGGAAAATATTATTTATTTATCAGATGAAGAACCTACTCAATTATTATGATGAATTCAAAAAGCATACATATCAAGTGCATATAATAGATTTACAATTTATAGCTCCATTTCAAGAATGGCGAAGTAATAAAACTCGATGGTTATTCCACCTACTGCAATCATATAAATAGAAGCTCATCGATATTATCTATTTTAATATTTGCACCTCTTCGAGTTATTAAGAACAACATATTGTATTACAGTTTAAGTATTCTGTCTTTAATATTGTTGACATCAATATGGTCGATGTAATGACAATTATGATATTGTAGAGATTAGTCACAATATGAATTTTATTTCATTTTCTCATTTTAACTGCTTGCCCATATTAGTGTAGAGCTATATAATAAATTCAAAATTAATGGGCTAGACAAAAAATTAAACAATCAAGAAAATAAAATACTGAAATAATGGGATGAATGTATTAGCAATAAAGAAATATTAAAAAGAATTAAATAGAAGGCAGCTACAAAACATAAAAATGATGATGTAAAAGAAAGAGATCGCAAGATTTCTTTTAAAAATAATGAAAATTTGCAACGCTAACCTAGTCAAAGAAGCAGATCATCAGGATGTATGAAAGTTTTTTTATTTAGTGTAATCATAACTTTCTCGATTATCTTTAAATTAAGGTAGAGCTAAGAGTCCAACAAATCAACATATAGATCGATTAGAAAAAATAGGTTCTAGATTTTCAGTAATGAGTCCCTTAATACTTTAAGATATGCAAATTAAAAACTAATTGAAAATCAAATTAGTATAAGACCCAGCAATTAGAAATTTTATATAATAAATGCCAAGTATGTTTGACAAAAATAATTAAAAAATAAAAAAACCATAAGAAAATAAAAATATAAAAAATACTGATAAAATGGATCTAATTAAATCAATAAACTCTTCAGAAATATAAATTGGAGATGTAATTATTGTGGAAAGAAATTAAATTGCTTCATGTGACATATTAGTATTATATTGTAATGATGAAATTTATACTGTCTAAAATTAATTATGTGGTTATTCAGACAAGACAATTAGAAAACCATTAATTCTAAACAAATGTAAATCTTAATAATTATTCTTAGTTGATTCACATAATTTGGTTCTATTCAAAAAGTCTTTTACTGGAACGATACAAATTACTGAAACCTCAAATAATATGTAGGGATACTTTTAATTAAAAAAAGATCCATAATCTTATATAGTATAAGATGATAATTTCATATTCGCATAAGAAAAATTATTAAATACACCATGGGTAATTGGAGTAGTAATTAAAGTTGGATTAAAGTGTCGTTGTTATAGACACTTTTAAATTAAACCTTAAATGCCAAACTATCCTTAAGATTTATTACTTACACTTGTGTGTATTTAAATTGCACTCTTAATTGTAATAAATTTTATATAATAATATAGATAATGTATATCATAATCTCTTAAATTGATAATGTGAAATATTATCTAGATATTATGCAATTAATTTTTGAATGCCTTATGCATTTAACATTTCTATTACCAAACAGTTTTGCATTCTATTATTCAATTGCTGCTCTGTATCAATAATAAATGATTCAAAAAATAAGTCATTTAGATATTAAATAAATAAAAGATTTTCATCCAGAATAATACTATAATATAAAAAGAATATCTATGAATCTAGATAGTATACTTGATGGAAATTTTGAAATTAAAAATTTAATATATAAGAATCAAGTTTGTTATTGTAAAGAGTCTGAATTGATACTTCATGCTTAAGAGGTAGCTTCATCAATTAATAGTCAAAATTTATTTAAAACTGCAGATTCTAAAGAAGATTCAAGACCTGATATATTATTATCTAATAAAATGTAAAATAATACTTTTAATGCTGCAAAATATTAAGAAGATGAAATAATTAGTGTAGATGATGAGGAAGATGATATTGGGGCAAATATGCCTTAATCTATTGAATTTAGATTGATTAGCAATTTTACTAATTTAACTCAATAAGATTTAAATATTGTAGTATAACCACTTAATGCATCTGAAAAAAGTGAATACTAGCCAAAATCAACTAATAGAATTCATCAATCTATTCATATAAGAAGTCTTAGATAAATTGCTATGAAAGATAGCAGATTAGATAGAAAGACAATAAATGTAAATGAGATGATACAATCAATCAATAGCAATAAAGAAAATCTAGCATTATTATAATTAAGTTTAAATTAAGTATCATATACGAAACTAATATATACAGTAACAGGAGAGGAAAAGATTAAGAATACTCATGTAAATATATTAGATGAGAAATAAATTTAGATTGCCAAATCATTTGGTTATGAATTCGTTTGTGTTAACAAAATTTAGTAATCAATTAATTTAATTTTAGAAATACACTCACATATATTATTAAATAGAATCTTTAAATATATTCATTTAAATTGATTGATATGTAGATGCATCGTCATCATTAGAGATTATATATGTTATTTGAATTAGATTCTGAGTATGAATAATTATTAAAAGCTCCTTATATCTTATTTATTAGAGAATCTAATAATAAAGTACCTGAAATGATTGATGAGATGAAGACAGGATTAAGATCATCACTTCCTATTATAATAAATCAAGAGAATGAATAAATACATTAAATTCATTACTTTTATTGTTTACTAAATCATTAAGATGCTGAGTCATATGTAAGTTAATAAGCAACATCCTAATAAAATACACTTGAAACAGAGGAAATCATTTATAGTTCATTAGAATCATTATAACTTAATATCATTTTAGGATTCAAATATAATTTAAAACCATAAGCTTAAGATTTTATCAAAAATATTGAAAAATCTGAATAGTAATTATTATTATACACTGATTAATATTTTGCATTTGCTAATTCAATATTATCCCAAACTGATATACAACATCATAATAAATTTGTATTTGAATAAGATAATGATGAAGATCTAAGAGCTTATTTTAAGAAATCTTTACAATAATTTTCATTAATTTTTTAAGAATAATAACCTATGTTTGGTTCATAAATGCATTCTCTTAAATAATTATCTAATGTAAATCCATCTATGCTATCAAATAAAAAAACAGCTGAAGATTTTCATTAGACTTCTTCTATTGTTGTTATTCTAAGCAGTTAAGCATTTAAAATTATAGAAAATAATAGCTATATGATCAATCATCTTAAATTATTACTTAGTTTTTCTAAAGTTACACTTCTATATGATGCTAATCCATCATCATTAGAACATCTATAAAAATGTTTTGATGGTCCTAATATGACTCTAAATTTAATATTTGAAAATCAAGGTTTATTGAAGAGTTATTAAGGATATCATCTTTAAATTGCATAGTTATAAGAATTTAGTTATTTTTAATAATTCAAATATGAAAATGTTAATAAATAAACTTTTTTTAAGAAAATGATACAATCATTAAAAGTTAGATTAGTTTATGAAAGATGTATTTATTATAATTTATATATAAGGTTTATTTAATGAATTATTAATATTTCATAATTCAGATGCCATACTATAAGGTTTTAATGAATTGAATGAATTTCTATTCTATTATGTACCTTTGTTGAATGTGTTATCAAAATATTAGATTAGAGTAGCTTTTGAAAGAACTATGTTCTTTTCTTGTTTTACAATAACATTTTATATAGTTAATGTTGTATTTTTTAATACATAATTCAATATATTTCTGGAATTCATATTTTACTCTTTCATTTATACTCTAATAATATATGTTTTAGCAACAATTTAATTTATTTAAATTTATAAGAATAATAAAATAGATATTCATTAATAAAAAGTAATAGAAGGTTACATAAAAATGTCAAAGAAATAACGTCATTATTTTTATTTTGGAATTAAATGTAAATCATATTAATTATTATTAGCTATCCTATAAGGCATAGTAACATAATTAATATTTGCTGATCAATCATAAATATAAAGTATAGATGTAATAATAGTATATACATTTTTATCAATTACACTTAATGATGCAATAAATACAATGATTAATACAGGACTAATTATAATGTCAAGTATCGCATATATTTTATCCTTTTCATTTTACATTCTAATTCACTTTACTATTATGAATCCTAACTCTTATTTTACTTTTGAAGTCATAAATATATTTGAAATCTTATTAACTATTTTCCTACTTTAAATATCTGAATCATGGTTATAACATTTCTCTATGTTTTAAGTACCTGATATGGATGGAATATTTTAGAAGATTTACAACAAATTCAATATATATAAAAGTGAAAGTTATTATAGAAATCATTTTCTTTTATTATTACAAAGAGAAATCAATAGAGTTTTTGAAAATTTTGAATAAGTTGATCTAAATTTATAAAAATGTAATTATATTTATATATTCATTTAATAGTATTATTAAATAAGAAAGCATTACCATAATCATTTGGAACATGGTAATCTTAAGTGTTTTAGAAAGCATAATCAATAATGAAATGGAGAAAGAAATCTACTATTTAAGGTTTATAATTAATTTGTTTTCATTGTTAGATGTTAATAATAATTTATTCATAATCAGATGATACTTATTATTTTCTCATAATTTACATTGTTTACTTAATAATTTAAGTTTTATTGTTTTGGTTCTAATTAATATATAATTTAAATTCTAGATAATTGTAATATCTAGAAGTAGTTAAATTTATGATTTGTGGAGCTGCTACTTTGATTACAATAATGGGATTATCAATAACTAGTATGAATTTAACATATCACCCATTTACTGAATTATTAGTGACCTTTTAATTATCAAGCAAATTACATCCTATTTATGATAATAGATTATATTTAATTCCTACAGTTTTTGTATTGATTGCATATTTTATAATGTAAATAATATATATTTTTATATAGATTTATTATTTAAATTGAGATAGCTCCATATTTTATAATCATAAAAATTGTATTGATTTTATTATTCTCTGTTTAATAATATATAATTAAGAGTTATGTAAAGAATTAATAATTATTTTAGTTCATTTTATTAGAAGAAGATCAAGCAACTAATTAGATTAATTTTATTGAAGAAAATAATAAAATACATGATATTTTGGGTATACTCTTGCCTAAATTTATTAGACATCGTTTAAATGAGAGTAATATTACTTATTATTATAATCATAGCTGATGAATATAATATCCATTAGAATTAAGGAGATGTTGCTATTGTTTTTTGTGACTTATGCAATTTTGATTAAGTTATTATGGAAGAATAGGAAAACATAGTACAATTCTTAGATGATTTATTCAGAACATTTGATAAATATTGTGAAATTTGTGGAGTTTAGAAAATTGAAACTGTAGGTAAAACTTATATGGCATCTGCTGGTCTTAAAGCATGTGAATAAGAATTAGTATATTTATCTGAAATTTAACCTGTTTAAAGAGCATTAAATTTGGCTGAAATGATGATGATGTATATTAGATCAAAACTGTAATTTTATTATTTTAAGAATTAGATGGGGTATTCATTGTCAACCATTAGTGGGTAAAATTGGAATACATTATGGTAGAGCAATATCAGGAGTTATTGGATTTCATAAACCTTAATTTTCATTGATTGGAGATACTATCAATACAACAAGTAGAGTTTGTTCTACTGGATAAGAGGATAAAATTACTTTATCAGAAAAGGCTTTTGAATAATTGAATAATGATAAAATAGAATTTGAAGTGAGATATGTAGAAATGAAAGGTTTAGGTTTAAGACCTACATATGTATTTATCTAAAGACTAAATATAAAGAATGGTATTTCAAAAAGTGATGTTAGTAATGGTTCTAGTAAATAAAATACAGTTAATATTACTAATAGAGTGAATAGTTAATCTTTATAAAGAAATGGATTAAAAAAAAGAACAGTAGCATAATAAGATCCTCTAACTTAACGTTCAAGACCTATTTTATAATTCTAATTATCTTGGAATTTTTAATAATAATAATAATAATAATAATAATAATAATAATATTAATAATAATAATCATAATTATGGTAAAATTCATAATCATTAACAGATGAATAAATTAATATTAAAGGATTTTAAAAATAAGTTTCAAATTGTAATTTAAATTAAATTAATAATTTGAATATTGGTGATAATGATAATGATGATAAAGTTAGTTTGATTTAATGTGTTTCTAAAACAGGTTTATTGTAAAATTTAGAAAATATGTTATAACGTAAACTTCATTTTGAAAAATATTAACCAGAAGTAGATCATTATATAGATTATGATTAATTACTTGTAATTATTATTATTATTTAGAATGTAATTTTATTAAAAAATGAAACTGGAGTTGAAGAGACTACTATTTTAGAGAGTTCTTTTATGGAATTACTTTAAAAATCTTATTATTAAAATTAGAATAATTATTTAGAGTATCATGATTATATATATCAATAATCATAGACTCTTACTAATAAAATAATTCAAATATATACCTTATATTATTTGATTAAATAATTTTGTTTGATTGGTGATTATCATGTTATTTCAGTACCATTAATTATATTATAATGGATAGGATGTGCATTAAATTTAATATCTTTAATGATTTATAAAAAGAAAATAATATCTTATTGGATAATGTTGATATATATTCAATTAAGTTTTTAATTAATTATTGGAGGACTCTTTATTATTTTTGATGTAAATGATTTTTTAAGTTACTTACATATAATTGAGATGATATTTATACAATCTTTCTTTAGTAATATTTAATTACTTCATTTTTGGATAAAAATATTATTTTGCATATGTAGTTTTTTATTTGAAGCACTAATATTAATATTTATTTATGAATACAGAATATCTCTATTTTTTGTATTTGTTGCAGTAATATACAATATTAATTATTCATATTTTTTAGAAGAACAATAAGTAGCTTGTTTTAATTAAAAAAATATTTTTTAGAGTCAATAAAATAAAGAATCACAATTATTATAATATTTACTTCCAAAACATGTATAAATTTGATAAATTTAGATTTTATAAACATTTTTTGATGATAATACTAGAGCTAGATGTTTAAGTGATAAAATTGAAGATGTAACTATTTTATTTGCTGATATTGCTGGATTTACTGAATATTCAAGTAAAGTAACTGCTGAATAAGTCTTATTAATGTTAAAAAATCTATTTGTAGAATTTGATAGAAAATGTTATGAATTAAATGTTTATAAACTGTATACTATAGGAGATTGTTATGTTGCTATAGGAATGATAGATTTTAATGATAGAAATCCAAGTGAAGAAGCAAAGAATATTGTAGATTTAGCATTTGAAATGATTAGAATAATTGAAATTGTTAGGAAATAAATAGATTTTGATGGATTAGATATGAGAATAGGCATACATACAGGTTGTGTTTTTGGAGGAGTAATGGGAACTGACATTGTTAGATATGATATATATGGTCCAGATGTTCTTATAGCTAATAAAATGGAATCAAATGGAAAAAAAGGATAAGTACATGTAAGTGCTGCAACAAAATAATTGTTATAATAGGATTATGAAGACAAATATTCTTTTACTTTCAATACAAAAGTCACTTTGTCTTCAATTAATAGAAGTATTGAAGGCTTTATTATAGAAAGTTTGATTGAAGATTAATATCCTTCTGATTAGATTATTGATCAATAGATTGAACCATTACAATCAGAACATTGATTGTTATTATTTTTTCATTGTTGTATAAATGTATCATTTCTTAATTTACTTTACGATTTTAACTTCTTCTACTAAAAATGCTCTAATGATTCTATTTTTAAGTGCTCCAGCACTCAATACTCCACCATATGGTCTTGAAACTGTTCTCTATCTTCTTGCAAGTTGTTTTAGTTTTGTAGGTCTGATTCTCTTTAATCCATTTAAAACAACATTCAAATTAGAATCTGCACATGTAGATGCAGTTGTCTTCTTATTTGGATATTAAACAACAACATTGCCACCTTCAATTAATTCACTTTTTACCTGGTGTCTTTACTTTTCTGATCTTATTTGATCTTGTATTATAGCTTGTTCTTCTTCTATAAGTTACTCTTACACCCATTTATTAAAAATCTTTATTTTAAATTTTTTAATTTCTATATAAATATACTAAATCAATTTTTACAATAAATAAATACAAACTAAAAATCATTCAGCTCCACATATTTCCCAAATCCTTATATGATTTTGATTTTATTTTCTCTAATTTTATAGAACTCATTTAATATTATTATTCTGTCTAACGTAATCTATGCATTAATTATGTTTCCTATTATTCTAATTATTATAATCTTTCCTATGCTTGCATATTAAATAAGTAAGCATCTTCTACTTTCTTTTTGTAATTTGTTTTTGCTATTACTTATTTTGTTTACCAAAATAATTGCAATTTCTCTTATTATTATTATTCCATCACTTTCACTCTTCTATAAGCTTTAACATTATCTGATCTCAATTCTGTCATTGTCTAATATAAACCTAATTGTATTGATTCCTTTAATTATTTATTCTCTTCAACCTTTATTTATAATCTTAATATTATATATATTTTACATTTATCCTAATTTCCCTTTTGTTCTTTGCATTATCTAAAAATGTTTTTACCTTTATTACTATATTTCATTCCTCTTTCTATCAATGATTTCCTTTTACATCAACTGGTATTTTTATTACAATTATTCCTTATAAAACTTATTTTATTTGCAAGTATATATTTATTGCATACTTCTTTCTAAGCTTTTAGTCTCAATACTTTAAATAAGTATACTTTCATAAGATTTTTTTTCTCTTATTAACTCATATATTGAACTCTAGCCTTTACTTTTTCAATATTCATATCAATAATCTTGTTAGCTGAATGAACTTCAGGATATCTCTAATTTTCCATTTATTACTCCAACTCATAACTAATATTCTCTTAAAATATATAATACTATTCTGAAGGATACTCATTCACAGTCTATAATGCCCATTCAATTTAACTTTAAACCTTTTCAGTTGATGATTAATATTCATTAGATTTCATAACTTATTGTAACAAATCCAAAATTTCATTTTTTCTTCCTTATTCCAATTAGTCTTATAAGGTATTTAGATCCAATAAAACATAATCTTATTCTTTAGAATCAAAAACAAACTCCCCTTCTTAATTTGTACTTATTGAAATCATATAAAATATAATATTTATTATTTAAGGATTATAAATATTAAAAAGCAAGAATTAATATTTATTGAAATATATTAAAAATTCAATTTAAACATTTATTAACAATGTAAAACTGAATTGTATAAATTAATAATAAAATATAATAGATATATTTATCTAATTTTTGTAAAAATATATAAGATTTTATAATTCTTCTAGAATTATCAAAATTTGGATTTGATTTTTATTAAAGAAAAACAAAGTAGAGGTATTATATTTTTATTCAAATATCTAGTTCTATATTATTGAATTTTAATGGATTATTTTTTATTTTTTAATTTAGTAGAATTTGTATTTATTAGAAATATTCATTATTTTGTAATTATTGATAAACTAATAAATTTCATTTAAATGGTATTTTTAGAATTTATAGTAAATTATTTTTGAAAAATTAAAAAAAAAAATCAGCTAATGTTATTAATTTCAAAGCTTCACGGTTTGCGATTTAAAAAAGTAATTAAAATAGATTAAATATAAAAATACTATTATTTTTTTATCAATTAGTTTGTAATTCTTCAGGTAGGATAATACATAACTATGTATTTTTGTTTATATAAGTAATAATAACTATTGTATATATAAAATAACCAATATATGTAATATTTGATTTATTAATAAAGATTAAATATATATATATATATATATTTCTACTATGGAAACATAAAATGAGATGAATTAAACTCTTTCATTATTAGAAATTAAGTAATTTAATTATTCATTTGTTTAAGAAATAGAATCAGATCAAGGAATTTATTCAATTCAATAATAATTAAATTCTTATTTGCAACAATTTTATTACTTAACCTTAGTCTTTAAGTTTAATTTAAAGTCAACAAAATAATGATGTTTATTGTACTATAAACATACTAATTTATTGATTTGTTGAATTATGTTTATCATTACTTTTAGATGAAAAACTAACATATAAGATTGTAATTATAATATCATATCCAGAAAAAAGAAAAGAATACATATATATATGATTACAACATTTTTAGATTGCTTATTTATGACATCATTTTTAATATTAGAAAAATCAGGAATCACCTTATACATATATAGTAATATATTACTTGTCTGTGCTTTAATATTGGATTGCTATCTATTGTATTTTAATAGAAGAATGTAGGAATCAATTAAAACATTAAACAAAACATCAACAATTATTAGATTTTATATTTTAATATGTTCAATATTTATAAGTTTAAGATTGGATAAAATTATAAATTGGGAATGGAGTGCTGTATTATGGGCTTTATGGTTAGGTTTATTTTGTTCAATTGCCATTAGTATTGGATGTTTAATCATAACTTTTAATAAAGTAGTTTAATATTTATTTGATAAATCGAGCACTTAAAAATCTAAAAGTATTAAAATTGTAAATATATAGTCATTTCCTATATCTGGTTAACACAATTATCAATTTATATAACAATATGTATAGGACTTACTTCATTAGGTTATTTAGATTTATTAACTATGAAACAGAATTATTAGAAGAATTTCATTATTCTACAATATTACATTATAGCTGAACTCATTATAATAATGTTCTATTAAATATATTTCCATATAGAAATAAATGAATATATTTATAGTATTCTATAAGATGATGAACCATTAAATAATTAATAATAATCATCTGCACATTCATAAAGAAACAATTAAACATTATAAAATTTAAATGTACTTACTTCAAGAACAAGAATACCTTAAGTTATGCAAAAGATCTCTAAAGCTTATTTCAGTATTCCTAAAGAAAAAGATAAATATATTAAAGATTCTATTCATGGTTCTCCAGTGTTAAAACTATCATAAAAAGGACATAAAAGAGCGTTTTCAAGTTAAGGTGTAGGATCTTAAATGTTTTAAGAATTAGATTTCAAAATAATTGAAAAATAATCATGTGCTATTGATTAAGGTATTACAAATAGAACAAGATCTTAGGTTGAAAAAAGAAGAAGCAATTCTTAATTAATTACTGTAATTAGTAAAAATATTAAAGATTGTTAGAGATGAATCTATTCAAAATTAGAAATTAGACATTAGTTAGACTAGTAATGTTTGTATAGTTTGTTATGAAAGAGGACCAAATGCAGTATTTATGAATTGTGGACATGGAGGTACTTGTTATTAATGTGCAATTGATATATGGAAATAAAAAACAGAATGTTATTTATGTAGAGATGTAATTGATTTATAAAGATTATAGAAAATAGTTTATATTTTGAAAGTAGATCTTGATGAGAGATTAGGAGATCTTTTCAAAGTTGTTTCAACCACTTAAATGATGGATTAATTTAACAAATGATATTAACTATTTGTATTAATAATTGAATATTTTAATATAGTTGATTCTCAATATATTTAAGAAATATCAAAACTCAACTTATAATTATATGGTTTATTAGGTTCAATAGTATCAAAAAACATTTACATTTTAGTTAGTTTTTAAATAGAGAATTTAATCGAAAGTTCATTAACATTATAATCTACATTATTAAATAAACAGAGATTTATGAATTCACTAAATTTTAATTCTATTTAGGCATTCTATTCTGAATTATTTTCATACTATATAATAATTCCTTATTATATATTCTATTATATATACCTTAATTGTGTTAATTGATATAAATACAAATCTATTCACATTCAACTTTCTTTGTATTTTAATCATTTATTATTTCTTAAAATCTTTATGATTCTACTATCTGAATTTAATTATCATTAATTAATGTGTGTGTATATTCATATTAAAAACTTATATTTTCTTATTCTAGTATAATCTTTGGATCTAAAGTATATAGAAGAATTTGAAAATAATTTTATTTCACTTTTACTAATGCTTATTTTTACTGTTATAATGAATCATATTTTATTAAGTATCCTAATTCTTTAAATTATATTTATTCCTATATATCTATTGAACCTCTATTTTCATAATAGAAATAAAGAAAACCATAAATTTTATTAGTACTTACTTATATTTATGGTTATTAAATTTAATTAAAAGATCTTATATTATCTTTGGATAATGTATCTTTTATTAAACTTTTAATTAGATTTATCTATTGTTATTCATATTAATTATTAGGATATATATTTAATGGTACCTTTACTCCTTTAATTGTCAAATTTAAATTAAATTATTTTTATAATTATTCTAAAGAGTAATTTTTTTAATTATTAAAATAACTTTGACATAGAATATAGTATTCACCTTTTTCAAGAATTGGATTTATATTTATAGATCTTGCAAAATTACAATTCCCATCAATAAATCTATATTAATTATCCTTCAATTCCTAAAACAATAACATTCTAATTAAACCAAAAGGGTTTTTTTTATTCTAATTATTAATTATTATAATATTCCCTTCTTCTATTATAAATTCTTTTTGCCATAGAGTTATCCAATAATTACTATTATCTTCTATTTTAAATTTATAAAAATATGTATGTTCAATAATATCAGTTTTTCGTTCAATAGGCTTCTCTAAAGACATTGCTATTACTCTATACTCATCTTTCCATATTAATACATGAACAGTTTAAAAATTCTATTTAAATTCCTTCCAACTTAGATAACAAACAGAATCCTCTTTTTATTTTCCTAAAAATTCCTAATATTTTAATATTACCTTATTTAAAAATAGATTATTAGTTTGGAGCAATTAATTTAATAAGTTTTTATTATTATTATTTATCAGTAATAGTTATTACAGATGCTATTGTTTTAGAATCTTAATAATATTTTACAAATAAAATATTAGATTTATCTTTTTATATTTTCTCTAATTCTTCAAAGGATTGAAATTCTTATTCATATATTAATGATCCTGTAATCATCTAATTATATAAATATAGTAACATACTTATAAATAGAAATCAATAGTATCATTTTTTATGACATTAAAAGAATTATATCCAAAACCTAATATTTTTCCTATTGCTTTCTCCAAAATAATAGGCCATTCATATTCAGAAGTTATTGTTGCTAATTGAGGATAATTCCCATTCAATTTACATGGTATTTGATCATCAACAATGATTAAATACTATAACCCTTATTCCCAAAGCCAAACTCCAAATAATCCATCCTCTCTTTATTCAAATAGTTATTTTAAATTTCTCATATTACTTTATACAATATTAAAAGCATTTATTAAGGGAAATGAGTTATAGAATTATGATGGCTTAAGTTTATAATCTGCCAAATATGAATTCTTAATCTTTTCTATTTATTTTAATTCATAGAGCACTAACATTTAGTTCTCAGATTTATCATAAAAATCTTTCTATTCAAATTTTTATTTTTATTCTAAATAAAAATTTTTCATCTCTTCATCATATTTTTATCTATCTTCGTATTACATATAAAATAAATATTTATATATATATTATTTTTTAATTCTCCTAAAATTTTCATGGTTATTTGTGATAATAATCCATTTAATTTAATCTTTCAATAATATTATCTCATTCTTAATTAGAGATTCTTGTTTAAATAAATTTTATTTTTGGTTATCCAAAAACAATTTTTAGATTATATAAACAATTATTATTATTGCTGGATAATATTTATAATAGATAATTTATTATTTATTTATTGTTATTTTATAGATAATATATATAATAAATGATTAAACCAAGATAGAACTCTTTATAGGCTATTCGTATCAATTAATCAAGTGAAAAAATAATGAAATCAATTCCAATTAAGCCAACATCATAGAGTGAATTTCAAAATAAGAAATCAACTGATCATACAGATCCTAACGAACTAAGACCTTTCTTAGAAGATTTAATGAGAAGATATGATAAAATAGCTATTGAATTATAAGCTGCTTAATTGAAAGTACTTAAAACAATTTCTTATTAGAATTATGAATATAACGATCAAAATTAAAAATTAATTAAAGAAAATGAGTAACTCAAAGAAGAAGCCAAATCTAAAGAGAATGAAGTCAATTCTCTATATTCTAAACTTGCTGGATATTAAAATAAGTATGGTTAATAAATCGATTTACTATAAAATGATAATATGAAAGTAGTATAAGTTTTAACATAAAAAATTGATGATTTAGAATCTGAATTAAAGTATTACTTCTTATATTACTAAGAAAAACTTAGAATGATTTGGATTATAATAAAGGATTACTAATTTTGAGAGAATAAGAAGTATTAGAATGGAGAAGTAGAAAATAATTTGATGAATCAAAAACTTTAAAAGAATTGAACTAAATAAAATAAATATTATAAACAAAAGAATAAGAATTGTAAGCATTAAGAATAAAATATGATTTCAAATAAAAAACAACTTAATCATCTTCAGGATAATAATTAGAATTAGATGCTCTTAGATAAGAATTATATATTAAAGAATAATAGCTAATAAAAATAAATAATTAAGAGAATTCAGAATAGTGTAATATATATTAAAATGAAATAAATAGAATCAATAAAATTGTAATAAATTCAATACTATAATTAAGGTAGTAGAATTAAGAAAAGAAGTGGAAAAACTCAAATAAGAATAGGCAGATTATGAATGGTTAAAGAGAAGATATGAAAAAGAACATTAAAACTTTTCTACTTTAAGAGTTTGAAATATATTATATAAGCAGTATTACTTTAAATAATTTTATATAAATTAAAAATTAAGTTCTTAAGAAAAATGCTAAGTTATTATCAATATTCTAAATATTTTAAATTTATTTAGCTTATAAAGCATTAATTTAGAAAATCATATTTATCAAAATTAAATTGAAGATAAAGAACTCTTCTTACTTAAAACTATTTCATTTCATGGTAATTTACAATATTTACAAATTAATCAAAATATTAATATTAAAATTCTAAAATATTTTTTTACGAAAATGAATAGAACAATTAAGTAATTATAATAGATTAAGCAGTCCATCTAAATTTTATGGAAATATATATAATAATAGTCTCATTATTTTTTGGATTTAGTAATCAACCAATCTACTACCTAAGTAATATTATTTCCTGTTAATGCACTACACATTGCCACAGCCCAGGCATTTGATGTTATATAATCCAAATTCAATCCTACATTAATAGATTAGTACCTTCTATCAATTATTTTTCATTTAGATGAGGATTCACATCAATCTTATTTCCTATGATTAATATTGGAATATTTCTCAATGATTTATTATCTAATAAATTATGCAATTCCTTCTTTGATGTACCCAAAGTTGCTTACTATTGTAATATTCATCTTTACATTGCTTGTATCAACAAGGAATATAAGTGCATCACAACCTTGTGCATAATTTCCCCATTCCGGTCTATATTGTACTTAGCCACCAATATCCCAGATCTATTTTTAAATATACTTCTACTTTCATAGTCACTCCTCCCTTTTTTACAGTCCTAACATTAAGACCCACAGTAGGTACTGTAAATGAAGGATCTCCCATTGATAGTTAATTCAACATTGTTGTTTTTCCTACATTCTCTAAACCTACCATACAAACCTCCAACTTTTAAGTAGAGAATAAATTCTTCAATTTTTCGAACAAATTTCCCATTAAAATATATAAAATTAATTTTAAAAATAAATACTTATTAATAATGTAAGAATTCATTATCTTTGAAATAATTAAAAAAATGATTAAATATATTAATTAACATTTATTTTCTAATTCTTTTCTTCAATTTTACATTATTCCAAGTGTTTATATTTAAATATGAATTAATTTTATATAAATAAAAAATAATACAAAAAACCATTCAAAAAGAAAATAGATTGGTAATAAATATAACATATATCAATTTATGAAAGTATGAGTATAAAGTTTATATGATATATTTATAGTAATTGTTAATATAGGATATTCATATGATCTCAAAATTAAAAACTATATTTGAGCTTTAAATATTTATTAGATCTTTTAAATATAACAAATATCTTCTATTTGAAGAACAAATTATGTTATTGTTGTAATTAAAAGATTTAATTTAATTTAGGAAGTTAAAATGAAAACTAATAAAGTTATGTACGAGATAATACTTATTAAAATATTAAATAATTTATTGTGTAATATAAATTAATTAATGGCACGCAAAAGGGCTGATCCAGATCGCTTCTTAGAGTACGAAGAATTTAAAGATCATTCTGGTTTTACTATATATGAGGATGGAGATTATATAGATTTCTACTATGACTAATATAAAGGTTGGTTTGATGAATTTGGCAATTACTATAATTCAAATGGTGAACCAACTCGACCAAATTAAAATAGCTTGAAATTTTGGGATTCTATAAAACATAAATGTAATAATCATCATTTGAACAGTTATAGATTTTTAAGATGACATAGATGATTTATTAAATCAATATGATGGGGGGACTGATAGTGAAGAAGATAATGATGATGATTTTGAAAGGTTATTGATAACATATATTGTAGAGAGTACCTTAATAAAGCACATATTGATAAACTTGCCAAGAGATTAAGACATTATGGAGATTAAGAAGAAATTAAAATTAAATTCAGTCACAATTAATGGAATACTAGAGATAAAGATGTAATATAATTATTGGGGGCATAAAATGTGAAATCAGTTTAATTTGATTTAAAAATTGGTACAACTTACAAAACAGGAACAGGAACTATTATAGCCTTTAATAAAAAGTGTGCTTAGTAAATTATATAATCACACAATATTGAAATCAATGGACAACCTATATCATTTGATATTGATGCATTAGATATTAATGATTCAGAAGACGAAGTAATTGATATTTAAAAAGAAGATCCATTATTAATTAAGCCACAATAATAATAATAAATATAAGTTTAATAATAGTAACAGTAATAAGAATAATAAGTATAATAATAATAATAATAATAATAATAGTAATAATAATAATAATAATAATAATAATAATAATAATAATAATAATAATAATAATAATAAAAAAAAGAAATTTGGGTTCAAGAATTCTTAATTGTTGATGGATTTCCAGAAAAAGAATCCCTTTAGAATATTAAATAATGGTTGTCTTAAAAAATATTAAATAATTCATAAATTCATGATAATATGATTGAAGTTAAAGTTAGAGAAAAGAAAGAGAATGGAAAGGTAGTTGACATATATTAAGCTGTTAAATTAGATTTAGGATCAAAAGAGAAAATAGAAGATGCTAAAATATAACTTGATAAATATAACATGTATCAAGGTAAGAGAAAGATATCCTATACCATATACAAGCCTCAAAAATGAAATTATGATTTATTTAATTTCTATTATAATAAATGAATTTTATAAACATAATATAATATATAAATCACAGATAGAATAAACCGTAACTCAAAATTTGATATCAGTTATTGATTTAATAGATGAAGTAGGATATGAACTTATTAAATCTGAGATGAATACAATAGAAGTTTCTATATCTATATGATCTTCAGGAATGTCAATAGAATCATTATTTGGCAAATTTGCTAAAAGCATCAATATATGATCAGTATTCTAATTTTATTTTGTTTCCTTGATTGACTAACTTAAAGTGACTGAACAACCTAATTTAGCAGATGAAGATTGATCCCCAAATGAAAGCATCGATCTAAATAGATTTTTTATGTATTCATAATCTGGCATAGTCTATTGAGTTAAAGTTTCAATATATTATTTGAACTATGAAAATTATGGAGGGAACTTCTGAGAAAGAACCGAAGTGTTAAAGATGGCCTCTTTCATTTCCCCTATTTTTTTTATTTCCAATTATTGAGATTATTGTTATTTTAAGGATTGCCAAGGCAGTTTCTCTAAAAAAGTCAATATTTAATATTTACAATTTCTTAAATACACTAAAACATATAGTAGACTTTCTAAATCATCTTTATAACCAAGTTAATTGCCTTTATGAGCTTATCTACTAGCATATCTTAAAGAGCCGACGAAAACTTTATTTAAGAAAGGTTTGTGTCCAAACTTTTAAGATAGGCCGAAATCAATGAGTTAAATGAAGCCAGGTTGGAGAATTTCATCAACTGGAATATTGATATAAGGCTATGATATCATTATATTTTCTGGTTTTATGTCAAGATGTAAAATGCCTTTTTTATGAACTTAATGTAAAATTTCAATTAAACTAAGTCCAATAGCTAAAGTGCAATGTAGAGTAGGCAAACTTTCTTTTGCTATCTCTTAGAGATTTCTTTTTAAAAGTGGAGTGATTATATAGCTCCTATAACAATATTATTATCGTTTTACTTTGAATCTTTTGTCTTTCCAAAATCAATCAATTATGGAATACCCTTGATTCCATCTAGCTCTTTCAATTTTTGAATTTCTCCATCTAATTAACCTAGATTAGGATTTTTTTCTATTTTTAAGGCCAAAATTCTAGAAGTCTAATTATTCTAGACTTTAAAGACTTGATGTCCTGATCCAGACCCTATGTTGGAGAGTATTTTGTAATTACAATTCTATAAATACATCACACTTTATTAATATTAATGAAAATGTTTGAATCTCAAGGAATAAATTATTAATTTTTACGGTAGTTTAATCTTTTAAGTTATTGATCAGGTTTTGCTATAATTAGTATCATAAAAGAAGGTAAAAATTTTTTAGGATGAATATAAATAATTATTGAACATTATAATACAATATTAATAAAAGATTTTAATAAATACTATAAACAATCATTAAAATGAAATTTTGTTTCTTCCAATTTGTATTTCCATTCCACTTTAATTTAAAAATTTGTCTTCTCTAATTTGTTATATTGTTCCAAATTTAGTATGATTATCCGAAAGATACACCTATTTATTCAAATCAACAAGTCAATCATTATTCGTACTTACTGTTGTATCATTAATCCTAATGTCAATATCATTAAATCTTCCAAGTCTAAAATACATAGTGTTTATGAGTTAAACGATATGAAAACTTGAACTGTTATTCCAGTTAATTCTTTAACCCTTTAAAATAAGGTTTAAAAAATTATATTTATTGATAAATTTGATCATTCAATAAGAGGATTTAATTAATTCAATTAAATCATATTAGGCATCATAACTTTTGAATTTGGATCAAAAATTGAATTAACTTGCTCATATTTAAATTCTTCCACAAATAGTTGATAGACCTACTAAATTAATAATTATTAAAAAAAGATTCTTTATAGTTTATTAGGAGAAGCTACAAATCCTACAAATTTATCATAATGGACTATATATGTTAAAATCCAAAACAATAACTCTAATAGTAAATTTATTTCTACTAAATTTGATTATATCTACTTACTTTGAAAGAATACTATTGTCATTAATTGCTATTAAATAACCTCATCCAAACAGAATTTCCATAAATAGTTTTATGTTTAGATTGTGGCCTTACTCCTATTAATCCTGTTGTATTACCCTGTTAACATCTCTTTTGTCTTTAATGTTTTCAAAATGACTTGATCTAACAATACTGTCCTGTTTGTCTTTAATAATGTATGATAACAGAACCGAACATTAATCTTCTTTTTAATCAATTTTTACAATGGTATTGCGAAACTGATGAGAAATTTGTTTTCTAAGATTAAAAAATACATTCCATGCCTATATTTCTATTTGATAAACAAATTTGCTATAAAAGAAATTTCTGTTTAAGAATAGTTGAAGATAGATATAAATAGCTTATAAAATTGGCATCACATGGATCAGGTAAATTCCCTATAGTTCCTTTTACTGACAAGTTACCTGTTTATGCAGACATGGTAGAAATTGTTAGTATAACAGATCAAATATAAATTATTGGTTGCGATAGATTAATAATAGATGAAATTTATTGTTTTATAAATAATCAAAAAATACCATTCACTCCAAATACTTTTAAAACTTTAACAAATCAATTATGGTTATCTAATTATACTGTTATCAAAGATAATTAAGATAAATCATCTGTCTAAAACAAAATTAAATAATTTATTCAATATACTTTTACAGAATTGACATAAGAAATGAAATCTTTATTTGAAAAACCATATCATTTAATGAATATATTTGGAAATAAATTTCATCAAATTAATTCAAGTCTTATTATGATCTAATTATTGAAGATTAATAATTAGCAATTCTAATAATTATATTATTCTAATGATTAATAATTAAGAAATTTATTCATCTGGAATTTCATTAATCAAATTTAATAAAAAATTATATAAATTATTGGTAAACAAAATCAAAATATTAAAATTAAACATTAAATCATAGATTACGAAATACAATTACCTAATTTGTAATTTAATAACATTTATAAAGAAGATGATGAAGATCTTAATGAAGATTTTAATCGATCATTCTCAAATATGACAATTACTTAATAAATAATTCTCAACCTTTTTCATCTTCACAAAGTACCAATTTTTTAATAATTTTTTATTATATAACATATACTCTTAATTATAAATATCTTTATTATAAAATATCAATATCAATTATTTTTAATCCTTTTCAACCGGTTTAAAAATAATAATTAAAATATTTAAGGAACTTTCAGTGTAAAGTTGTTTTTATTATTTTTTCATCATTTACAGGATAATGTATATGTTGACCAGACATTTACCCATCCTTATACTCTCCTATACTAAAAGTTATTTTACTTTCATCATAGTGATGATAAAAAGTGATCGATTTTCCATTCAACTAATTATTTTTAAAATTTCCCTTAACTTTAAATACTTATCCTGTTTATAGTATCTGTTTATCCTTTTCTAATATTTCTTTAGTACCTTGCCCATTGAATTTAATTTCTCCTTGTTCATCTAATTAATATTCTCCATAATATTTGAATTTTTTTTTGTGATCAATTAATCTTACTGTTGAGTTATACTCTTCAAACCAATATTCTTTTATTAAATTAAAGTTCGTAATAACCTTTGGTTCAAAATTTCTCCTTTATACTTCAACTTTTAAATACTAGCAATAATATTAATTATTATGAGGCAAAAACTTATGAATAATTAATTAGGACTAATTTTGAATATCCAATTTCATATCATTTATATAATCTCCATCATAAACATAGATTAAATCAGAACCCATTCCAAATTCCCTACAAATGATAGATTCATATTAGAACTAATGACATTATAGATCAAGAAACTATTATCTAATATCATTGAAATTTTTAGCATTCTTAAAATTGAATTTCTCTATTATTTTATCTTATACTTAATCATAAAATTCCTTTAATTCATATTTTAAAGTATAATAATATAATAATTTATTAACTTCCGAATTTTTATCTTGATTATTGATGATATCAAATTCATCTATTTTTTGATCTAAATAAACTAAACAAATGAACTATTTTTCTAACTCTAATTATTTAAAATTCTCCTTATTCAATTACTTATTATCAATATTATTATAAAGTTTTAAAATTTTTTCTATTTCTTATTTTAAATCTTATTCGAATTAATTTTATGGATTTTAGAATTGATTGAGTATTTTCTAAAGTTCGTTATTAGTAAAACAATATAATAATACCTAATTATATACTAAAATTTTATTTTCATTATACACTTAAACAAATTTCTATTTTTCCTTATCAATTTGAATTATCCTATATTTTGTAGGAATATTAAATTTAAAATCTTTTTATTATTTATGATTTATTTCAAAATAAAATTCCTTTAATTCATATTTTAAATTAGTATAATAATCTAATAAATTCATTATATCTTAAGATTGGACTTGATTTTAATTACAATTAAATTCATCTATTTTTTGATCTAAATAAACTAAACAAATGAACTATTTTTCTAACTCTAATTATTTAAAATTCTCCTTATTCAATTACTTATTATCAATATTATTATAAAGTTTTTAAATTTTTTCTATTTCTTATTTTAAATCTTATTCGAATTAATTTTATGGATTTTAGAATTGATTGAGTATTTTTTTAATTTCTTTATAAGTAAAATAATATAGTAATTACTAAACAAATTCTAAAATTTCATTTGGAATATATTTTTAAACTAATTGCTTATTCTTAATATTTATTAATTTTTCTCTATCAATTTTATAGAGCGTATTTAATTAGGATTATGATAAAGATTGATTGATTTATTGAGGAAGAGGCTCAAATTAGATCCTATATTATTTCATAATAGAATCATTAAATTTAAAATCTTATTATTATTTAAGATTAACTTCATCATAAAATTCCTTTAATTCTTATTTTAAAGTATAATAATCTAATAATTTCTTTACTTCTTAAGATTGGTCTTGATTTTAATTAATATCAAATTCATCAATTTTTTGATCTAAATAAACTAAACAAATGAACTTCTCTTCTAATTCTAATTATTTAAAATTCTCCATATTCAATTACTTTTTATCAATATTATCATAAAGTTTTTAAATTTTTTCTATTTCTTATTTTAAATCTTATTCAAATTAATTTTATGAATTTTAGATTTGACCTTATAGTTACTAAAGTTCTTTATAAGTAAAACAATATAATGATTCCTAATCAAACTGTTAAATTTTATTTTCAAAGTATTCTTAAACTAATTTCTAATTATCAATATTTAATAATCTTTCTCTATCAATTTTATAGTGCGTATTTAATTAGGATTATGATAAAGATTGATTGATTTATTGAGGAAGAGGCTCAAATTAGATCATATATTATTTCATAATAGAAACATTAAATTTAAAATCTTATTATTATTTCTTATTTATTTAAGTATAAAATTCCTTTAATTCTTATTTTAAATTATAATAGTCTAATAATTTCTTTACTTCTTAAGATTGGTCTTGATTTTTAACAAAATCAAAATCATCTATTTTTTGATCTAAATAAACTAAACAAATGAACTTCTCTTCTAATTCTAATTATTTAAAATTCTCCATATTAAATTACTTTTTATCAATATTATCATAAAGTTTTTAAATTTTTTCTATTTCTTATTTTAAATCTTATTCAAATTAATTTTATGAATTTTAGATTTGACCTTATAGTTACTAAAGTTCTTTATAAGTAAAACAATATAATGATTCCTAATCAAACTGTTAAATTTTATTTTCAAAGTATTCTTAAACTAATTACAAATTGTCAATATTTATTAATCTTTTTCTATCAATTTAAAAAATACAACCTGATAAAGATTTTGGAAAATTTTCCGATAATTCATTATTTATAATGAATCTCTTTTTCAGTATTTATTATATTATTATGAGTAGATAATCTTACACATCTGGATTTTAGTCTATCATCCATTTTAGCTAATAATTTCTATTTGCTTTTTTAGACAAACTTAAAGAATTCTTTAAATCATATATTTAGTCTTTGTCATAATGATAAAATATTTCAAACATCAAAACTGTTAATACATGTTAATCATTTTCTTAAATACCCTCTTATTTTCTTTATTCTAATTTTTGCATTAATTCTTCATTCTGTAAATAATACATGTCCAAAATTTCTAAAAGTTGTTAACTTTAATATGGATAAATCTATCGTTACTAATCTTTATTAAGCGTTCTTACAAAATTTTTTTGATCCATAAACATATTTGATTTTTGTTATCCTTATAGATATCCAAAATCTGTGAGATATAATTTATTTTTATAAAGAATCAAATTATTTTTTTAAATATTATTATGTATGATCTTTTTCTTTTTTAAAAACTTTGCTAATTCAAGCAGTTAATCAAAAATATTAAGTTTTTCTTCTAAAGTATTAAGCTATACTTAAGATAAGGATTTAGCTTCTTAACTGATATTTTATGTGATCCCATTGAAATTGTAATTAATTTTAAATTTATTCTACTTTTTATTATATTAATAATCATCTATTCCGAGAATGTATTTACGATTCTCTTCATCCTAACACAAATTTATTTATTCATCCAATAATTTTTCATAATTTTTTTAATCTTTACATTAAATTTTTTCTTGAAAGTCATTTTTCATTTTTAATAATTTAATAATTAATAGAAATAAATGTAAATAAATGTATATGAATCTGATTAATGAATTATAATAAAGATATTGAATGAGATTATTAATGAAATTAAAATAATTTAACAACTTTTAGAGATAAAGTCTTTCAAATTTATTTAGTTATTATTATTATTATATAATACATTCCAATAATTCTCATTATCAATATATGTATATTTTATATAAATGACATGAAACTCTCCTATTTAAAATAATTAATATATATGACATACAACCTTTATAAAAGTTAGAGGAATTTTATTTAGGTGAATTTTATATCATGAGAAATTTCAAAGACTTAAATATTATGGATTTGAAAATTGAACCATTTATCTTAGAGAAAAAGAAACTAGTATTTTTATGAATAGATTGCCTAAAAAGGTTTGAGGATTTGAGATAAATGAAATTTTAATGATAAAATGAGATTACTTGATACAAGTACTAAAATTTGATTATTATTATGCATATATAAAAATCATACTATCAAAGAAAACCAGGACAAAAACAAGTAAAATAAAAATACAGGATAAACTGCCAATTTCTTCTTATGGGGTGGTACCAATGATGCCATAAAACCAACAGATGCTATGATTAGATTAAATAAGAATTTATACAATATGCAGACCAAGCAAAGCAAATAATCACTGGGATTAATTTGACTACAAATGGTAAATAGGATCCAATAAATGCAATAATTATTGCTTCAATATTGATTGGAAATACACAATAACCCAATAAACAAACAGATTAGAAAAATGATCTAAAAAATAAACGAATTTAAATTACACTTTTCCTCCAAGTAATTATGCATTTAGAGTAACAACAAATGCACCAACCCAAATAAGAACAAAAATGATTGCAAAAACATCAGATTTTGAACTATTAGTTGTTGAATCAGCCTTGAAACTCAAAGTCCTTTAATATAAATAGTAATTTACATAGCCAATGCTAAACAAAAAATTAAAGGTCCCCATAAATCCCCTATAAAATATAAAAATAGAGTTTACAATTTCGTAATTCTTTTCCATTGTCCTCTTATTCTTTAGGAATTAATACATATTTTAATTTATATGCTATCATTTTTAAATCTCTCATCTAAATAACATATTTTCTTTTACAATAGTCTCTGATACACTTTCTTCTAGATCAAGTGTTTTTAAATCTTCCATTTATGAATAATTTTAAGGATTTTTTTAGTTTGTATAATCCATAGAATGTTAATAAATATATTAATTATTTCTGTGAAAATCTATCCAAATATTTTTTAAATAAAATACACAATACATAAAACAGTCTTCAAAGTTTTAGATTATGCTATAAATATTATAATATAGTTTTTAAATCATGAGATTAATATCATCCACAACAACCTTTTTTCTTTTTTGTTTACAATGACTAATACTAAATAGAAACATCATACAGTAATGATTTTTTTAAGACCTTATATTTCTTCATTTTTTTGGGCAATCATATTTTATAACTCATCTACATCTTTAATATTATCTCTATATATATAAATTTGATATATTGAAATACCTAATTGTTTTATTTTCAGTTTATAATTTACTAAGTTAATCTGATAATTATTTTTTTTATGCTTCCAATTATACTTTGTCTTAATCTAATTTCTTTATTTTTGTTTCATGTTATGCAATATTTAATTCTAATATTTTTATATTATCCAACAATTATTTTTCCTTGACTTATTATACTGCTTTCTCTTCTTCTGCTTAATTCTTATTTTTACTATATTTTTGTCTAATATTTTATAAAATTATATTTACACAACAGAATTAACTAATTACTTAACAATTATTGGATGATGATTCTATAAAAAATGTATTAAAGTATTAGCCTTTTCAGTACCAGCAGATTTTTTATCATAAGCAGTTAAAAATCTAAAGTATATCAATTTATATAATTACTCATTGAAATGTTAAAAGAAAACTTCTAAATTATCAATTGTAAATGTTTCTTGATCCAAATTCTCTTTTAATTTTTAAGATACTTCAGCAATAACTTCTTCATTTTTCCTAATGAGATAATATATATCATATACGTATTATTCATATCATCATTCAATCTTATTGCTAAATTTTCTTTTTCAGTCATAAAATCTAATAACTTTTTCTTATATTCTTCAAAATGATTATTCTTCTCCCTTATACCTGCTATATAATGAAATGTTTAAAATGATTCATCTCTAATCTTTTTTAAAATTTAGAATATCTCTTCAAAAGATTTAGCTTCATCAGAACCAAAATATTTCTTTAAATTAGTTTCATATAATTATTTTGCCTAAACCAAACCTTATTGACATTCAGTTTCTACAACATGTTCCCAAGCTGTCGATATGATTGGAATCTTTCCCTTATTAAAATTAGTTATGAAAGTTTCAATCATTTTACAAAACATTCTTCCATTTAAATTGACTCCATTCAATTATTTAGGGGATGTATTTTTCAATAAATATTCCCTAAGTTAAATTACTTATTATTAAAATTCCTCTCTTAATTGATTATTTGGTAATTGATTTACTTTTTATAATTCATTTTCATTAATCACAGGTCTAACCAATTAAAAACAATTCCTATCTTTAAAACATGTTAACAATGTTTTTCTAACTTTTTTTGAATTCTCACTTTAATATTAACGATCATCATGCAAGGCTAATTCTAAATATTCTTTAGGTGTAATCTTTCTATTTTAACCATCTTTCATTTCAAGTACAAAATCTCTTAATAACCATATAAATTTAGGTGTATAATAACCTAATATATTTTCATTATTGCTATTATCATGATCTTAAACTTATATATTCTTAGATAATAATGTAGTTAAATGAAGTTAAATAATAGATTATTCATCAATACATCCAATTGAATTGAACATAAAAGTACTACTCATTAAAATAGCTAATGCAAATATTTTAGCATCATGAGTTTATGATTTAACTCCTGATTCACTACCTTCTGTATCTAAAAAATATATTTAAAGATTGCTTTATTTATTAATTAAAGGTTTTGTATATAACCAGATTCCTTGAGTACAAGAATTAGTTGCTGGACTAACTGAAAACTAGATCTATTAGCATAAAAAGTGATTACTCCTTCATTCTATACATCAATAAGTTTGTTCAATAGAAAACTCTTTCCTGTTCTGTATTTACCACATACAACAACAAATGCTATGTTTCCTCTTAATTAACTCAAAAATTAAGCTGCTTCACTATTTAATTCAAATTTATTATTTTATGACACAAAGGTAATCAATTAGATTGCTTTATAATCATTAATTTATTCTAATTTGATTTGATCAAGATCAATCATCTTTTTTGATTTAAAAATAATAATAATAATAATTTAATACATATATACTTATACATAATTAGAGTTCATATACAAAATCTTTTTAATCCAATTATATTCTATCTTCCTATCTTTCTCATACTTTTTTTCTTATATTAATAATTTCTAATTAATCGTTAAATTTGAATGGAAAATAATGAATTAGATGACTACATTTAGCTTAAGAAAAATGTAATATAATTATACAAATATATTAGTATGCTTTGAGAGAGAATGAATGGAAAAAAGATAAGGCATTGTATGAATAAAAAATACAATTGTTAGAAATTCAATTAGAAGATTATAAAACTAGGGAAATGAATTAAAAAAAATTGAATGATACTATTACTTAAGCTATAGATATTTCAGGAAAATCATAAGTATAATTATATTCCTAAATTATTAAGCAAAAAAGCTATACAGAATTTCAAAAATCTATTGAAGTCTCAATGGCAAATAATAAAAAACATTAAGATAGCATATCAAAATTAGAAGAAAAAGTAAATTAAAATCATAAGTTTTAGCTAAGATGTATGAATGAATAGTTAAATGAAAAAGAAATTTAAATTAAAGATCTTGAACTTTAGTAACAAAAATAATAAATTACTTATGATCACAAGATTTAGAGTCTAGAATCTGAGAAATAATATTTAAACTAAGAAATTTCTAAATACAAAGATTAAATATAAAAAAATGAAGAAAATTCTAAGTCAAAAGAATAAGTATTAAAATTATAGTGTGAATAAGAAATTCAAAAAATTAAGGATAACTTTTTTAAAGACATGCAAGAAAAACAATCAGATTATGATTAAAGATATCAATAATTAGCATAATTATACGAAAAAGAAAAAGAACAATTACAATAAAGATTAATTCGAAGTCAAAATACTATTAAAAAATATTAAACTCATATTGAATCTAATTAAGAAATATAATAAATGTAATAAAAGTATGATGAATAAATTGCTGCTTTAAAATAAGAAATGCATGAACAGTAAGTTCAATTTCAATATGAAAAGAAAATGCTAAATAAATAAATAGATGACCAAAGAATGTAAATTTCAATTTCATCTATATTTTAGAAATACTAATAATTACGATAGTACTTCAAAGAAAAAAAGCTTAGATATGATCAAAATTAGAAATTCTGTTGTTTCATAAGAAAGTCCTGTTCAATGCAAAAGTTTTCATATATCCTAACCAGATTTTAAATAAGTTCTCTAATAACCTAAGAATTCAATAACATCTATTTAAAAATAATCAATGTAACCTCCAAAAAACAATTAATCATTTGAAAAAGTCAAAGCTAACAATCATGATACTCTACCTATGCCTATTGAAGATTTTAATTTAATGATGAGTAAAAAAGCCAAATCATAATCAACAAATTCTCTTCCTTCAAATAATTTAAATCTTAATTCTTATCTCCAGGATGCAAGTATTATGAAAGAAGAAACTGAAACTGGAGATGAATTTATAAGATTTAAGTTATCTAATCAATAAACAACCAGATTTAATAATGAAGTTGATCAAAGAAGATCTTATTCTCAATAAGGCAATAAAGTACATAGTATTACTTCAGCAACCAATTTAAGTAAAATGTTAGGATAGACAGATCAAAGTTATTAAAATTAAAATACTTCTATTTCTACTTAATAAAAAACTCATAATACTTCATTTTCACATTTTAAGGTTCCATCCTTTACTTAAGGTTAGTTAAACAATCTAAAATATAGTTTATATTAGCATTAACCTTAAACAACTTTAAGAATGAATGATAATCATATTAATTACATTTAGTAAATTAAGGCAAGATATATGAATTAAGATGAATCAAACTAGAATGATTCTACTTCGTTTAAATATGTAAATCAAATTGGTATTAATAGAATAAAGAGAATTAGTAGCCATCAAAAAGTGTACATATAAATAATGAGATTAAGTTTTTGATTGGTAAACTACTTCAAGCAAAAGGAAAATTGACAACTGAATTAGAAAATACTCAAAAATCTTGTAGATATAAGACTTGAATTTTTATATTCAATATATTTTTGGACGAATTATATTCATTTTATCTCATTATTAATTATATATTTTATTTCTTCACAATGATTTATATTAATAATTTTCAGTTAACATATTTGAGTACAGAATTAAATGTAATTTTCAAGATTATGCTAATCAAAAATAAGTAAATAATTGAATCTTTATCAAAAATTTAGTTTTATAACAAATTTTATTATCAATTGATTTATTTTTAATTTAATTAAAACAAAATAAAGAATAAAACATAATCAACAATCATTATAAGTAAACTTAAAATAATTTAAGATATATGAAGATTAATAATAGACAGATAAATAATTTAAAAGAAGAAATAAAATTAGATTGTCTTTTTTATTAATCATTTTAAATTTGTTATTTCAGATATAAGATTGAATTCTCCTTCTAACAATTTTTCCCTAAATTCTGAATCTCTATCAATCATTCTTACAATAGATTTTACTTTATCCATATATATCTATACAGAATGTTTATAGAGATCATAAATAGTTTATTCAATTTTTTTAGACCATTCTATATGTTCATTTTTAGTTTGTAAATAAAAATATTTTGTTAATCCATCAATTGCTTTTTTTCTTTTGTCATCTTATACATATTCACTTGAAGTATTTTGATTTTCTTTAAAGTTTGATTTTATATTGTTTTAATTCTTTATTTATACTATAGTAGTTTCTTATTTTTATTCATCATTTTTTAATTTTTTTTGAATTTATGGCTCATTATTTTTGGATTATTTTTATTTTTATTGACTTTTTTAAACATCTTTATTGTCTTCATTATTTGTACTTAAATCATTAGAAATAATAACTTATTTCCATTATTTAACTAATTTACGACATATTTTAATTGCTTTTGCATACTTTTCATCATCTTCATCTGTATATTTCTTTTAACCTATTCTAACAAAACTTTTAGTGATTTAGCTTTCAATTATAGATTATAATTCATATTGACCTTTATAAACTTAAGCAATCAATTAATAAGACTTTTAAATTGGAGCTGTAGAAAATTTCTTAAGTTCTTGTTTAATTTCAGACAATTATTATGTATTTAATTTCATTTATTTAAAATATTATTTGTACATCAATTATAATTTATATACAAAACCAAATTGCATTGAATATATTTGAAATATATATATATATATAAACATAAACTCATTTTTTTAATAACTTGATCATATGAGGTTAATATTACTCTAAAGACTCTTTAATAATACTTTAACTTCTTGGATCTAATTTAATCATATTCGCCTTGCTTATTAATGATCTCAAAATGAATTAATATTATTAATATTAAGGAGATTTTGTTTATTAGAGGGAATAAATCAAAATAGCTTAACTGATATCCATTGCTTTAAACTCATTACTTTTGGTTAAATGAAGTCCTAGTTTATTGTAAATATCTGTATCTGTAATTCCGAGTCTTTAAATATATATTAATTAGACATACTTATTCAAATTCCAAATCATTATAGATGCAAATTTTGAAGAAAAAGGTTGATTGGATTTTTCTTAATTTTTTAACATAATATAAGCCAACTTTTAAGCAAATTCTGGACTTTGTTTCAATTAACCTAAAGTTCTCAAAAGTAAAAGTAACTGGAGTATACCTTCATTGGAAAGATCTTATTCAGCTAGATTTTGGATGACAAGTTTTTGATACTATATTAAATTTTAATATGTACAGCATTGATTTATTTATTATCTTTGATATTTATAGTTGCTTATAAAAGTAAGATTAATGATCTATTTGTGATTAAGTCTTTTTTATTAAAATTATTTATGGCTAATTTAAATGTATATATTAATAATGCACTCGCATCTAACTTAATATCTTGAATAGCCCAAATAATTAGAACCATATCTTTGAATTTAAATCTAAAGTCTCTAAGAACTCTTTTCTCTGATTATAAATCCTCCTCTAATTCTTATTCTAAAAAATCATCATCTTCATCAGATTGATTGATTTCATTATCCTCTTGATTTTCTTATTTTTAATTTTCTTTAAAAGATTATATTTCATCAGGTTTCTCTGAAACTGGAATAAGGGAATCTAAATTCTATTGTAATTAATCAATCAAATGAATCACTAATCTTGGCTTTTTTATACCATTTTTATGATAACCCCATAAAAGTATAGCAATTTATTTAATTCTAATACATGTCAAGTCACTTCCATATTATTTGATTAATTATTTATTTCTTCCTATTTTAGCAACTTGCACATCTATCTAATAATAAGATTAGATATTTTACAAAATCTCCATTTTTCTTACATAGGCACCTATTTGAAAACTTCTGTTAATTCATCATAAAATGCAGTATCATCATTCATATCGAATCTCTTTCTAACTGGACTTGTATTCATATGTTTCAAAGCTTCAAGAAATAACAAAGGAGTAAAATGTTCCTAATTTTTATGATAGATTTAATAGATTTCTTTAGGACTACCACATGTTTTGATGAATCTAAGAATCTTCTTTTCAGATGAAAAACACTATAGAATCCTAGTTGATAAAATCATTAATTAAATAATGTTTAAAATTATTCAAAGAGCCTGTTTCAGATATTCAGTTGCCAACACTAAGGCTGAGGCTGAAATCAAATCAGTTCCAGGTATCAATATTAAAGAGTGAATTTAGGACATAAGCCACCCTCTTTTGAAGATACTGTTTAAGGAAAATATGCAGGAGTGTTATTCTCAACAGCATCATAAAGAGAAGCACTTCATCTAGTGTTATAGGACATGAAATACTTCAAAGAATTGGCTGAAAAGAGTCCAGTATTTGCAGGCTTTTTGGTAAATTCTGCCTACAAAAGAAACCAATAAAGAAATGTGATTCAAGCTCTAACAAAAGTAAATAAATTTAATTATGTTTTAGGAAGGATTCCATGAAGTCACTTAGAATTTGTTAAACACTATGATTGATAATCAAAGAATTTCTTATCTATCTAAGACAGCTGATAAATACATTGAATATTATAGAATCTTTAATAAGGAAGAAAATATCACAATTATTTCTTCTGAAAATTTGTCTGAAGAATAAAAGTAAATATATATAGTTATTTTAATATTAGATCATAAGTAATTTAAGCCTTAAAAGAATCAAGTCCAAATATGTAATTTTCTGTTCAATACAAAGTGGATCCCTCTATTTTAGGAGGATTATAAATGTATTCAGGAAATAAATTCTTGGATTGCTCTTTGTTATCAAGAGTAAATAAATTGAGATCAGAATTATAAAAGTTAAGCATCTGATGATGAATAAGTATTAATAATAATAAATATTATATATATATATATTATAAATATTAATGGACATTCTCAAAGACCCTACAAATGATAGATAAGTGAAGACTCTAAAGCCTCCTCCTCATAGACCACTCTCAAAAAATCTGATGTTTCCAGATAAATTGAAAAGTACGTCACAATATTAAATTATTTAGACAAACCTGATTGGAAATTATTGAAAGATCATCTATAAAAAGAAGGAAGAGTAGCAAAAGAAGAATTATTTAAATTGGTTGCTGATTGCAATAAATTATTGAGTAAACTGACATTTTGATTGTTAGAAAATGAGGGAAATGTTCTATATTTGCAAGATCCACTTACTGTTGTTGGTGATATTCATGGGTATGTACATAAATTTAAATAGATAATTTTATGATTTACTTAAATTATTGGAACCCAAAGTTGGTGGCAACCCTGAAACAACAAAGTAAAATAATTTAACATTATTAGATATCTCTTTTTGGGAGATTTTGTAGATAGAGGATCTTATTCAATAGAAGTTGTCATTTTACTTTATGCGATAAAAATTAATTATCCTAATACTGTTTATTTTTTGAGAGGCAATCACGAATGTAGATAACTGACAGCATTTTTTAATTTTAAAGATGAATGTACCTACCAATATTATTATAGGTCTATATAAATATGATTAAGAAACATATGACATGTTAATGGATTCTTTTGATCTATTTCCATTAGCATGTATAATAAATTCAAAATTTATTGCAATTCATGGTGGAATCTCACCTGATTTAAAATCAGTAATATTTTAAGTTATTTTTTAGATTGAAGACATAAAAAAATTAGATCGATATCATGAACCACCTCGTAGCGGTCTCTTTTGTGATTTACTATGGAGTGATCCAGTAGATCATGATTAAGGAAACATGGATGGATAATGGAAAAGCAATGAAGTTCGTGGATGTAGTTGGTTTTTTGGAATTGAAGCAAGTATGAAGTTCTTATAAAGAAATAGTCTTATAAGTATCATAAGAGCTCATGAAGTAATAGATTTATATATTTAAATAGGCATAACTTGATGGATATAAAATGCATAGATGGAATGGCGGATAAGATTTTCCAGTTGTAATTACTATTTTCAGTGCACCAAACTATTGTGATGTTTATAACAATAGAGGAGCAGTGATAAAATTCGAAGTAAAAATTAATTATTAAAATTATAGAACAATACTCTAAATATTTAATAATTTTAATATACTCCACATCCATATTTACTTCCAAATTTTATGGATATATTTACTTGGTCAATACCTTTTGTGGCTGAGAAAATCACTGAAATGCTTTACAATTTAATTTAAGCAGGTGATTAAGGAGATGATGAAGATGATGTTAATTAAGAAGATATTGCACAATTTAAATAATTAACTAATTAAAATAAACAATTTAATAAATAATAATCAGGTGGTTCGAGTGGAAAAGGTAATTTATTATTATTATTATTAATAAAATAGGTACAGAGAAATTGAAAAGTAAATTAAAATTCGTAGCAACCATGATGAAGCTCCAAAAAACACTCAGAGAAGAAAGTGAGAGTGTTATGAAATTGAAAGGAGCTTGTCCAGATAAAAGATTACCTAAAGGTATACTATCAGCTGGTAAAACAGCTATTTCTGATGGTATTTTTGTATAAATAATAATTTTAGCACTTGCTGATTTCAATGTTGCTAAAACTGCTGATATAGTTAATGAGAAAATGCCAGCTCAAGCATAAATTCCTTAATAATCTATATCAATAAAAAAACCCAGTAATAATACACCTTAGCCCAAGAAAAAATGAGAATCCAATTCTATTAAATATATATATATATATTATTCAAATATAGATGTGTAATAATCATTTCTTGTTTTTATTTTTATTTTTTGTTTGATTTATTTATTATTCTATAAGAATAAGGAATGCAGTATAATCTTCATTTATTACCCTACTTATCTTTTCATAAGTTTATAACAAAAACTATTCTTAAATTCATATTTTATACCACTTTTATATTATTTTTCCTAAATATTAGAATGAAAAATAGATGATACAAAATAGACGAGCTTTAATATTTATTTCAAAATTAGAGATGTATATTGAGTATGTCAAGAAGAATTTCTAACCTACAGCTTCAGAATTAGAGTTATTGAATTCCTAAGAAATAATAGAATTATACGAATATATTTAGCAATAAGGCGGATTTATTAAAGTATCATAAAACACTATTTGTAGTATTACTCACAGTAGTACAATAAATTTCAATCCTATGATAACAATGAAATTCTTTAATTGTTTCAAAAATACTTATTAAATTATGAATTAAGAACTACAGATATAGATGGATAATATCTACATAGATGTGCTTATATTGAATTTTATAAAGCAATCAATTGTTTTACAGAATCTCCATAGAAGTGGCTCAAAGATTAAGTAACTTTATGGTCTTTGCCTAAGGATGTATTTACAAAATTGAATAAAAATCTGTTTACATTCTAAGATTTATCAAAAAATCATAGAAATTTTGAAATTGATATTAGGGCTCAGAATCCATTTATAGATACAATATTAGCAAAAGAGGAAAATTATTATTAGGCTTATACAATGACAATAAAATAATACAAAGATTATGCTGAGGATCCAAAATCATTTTTTTACAATAATCCTCAATATAAAAAAGATCAAGTATACTAGGCAGTAAATGTAGATATGGAGGAATGGAAAGAGGAAATCCATAGATTATTTGATTTTTTACCTAAATACTTTTCAAGAAATAACGGATTGAATTATTTAAGATAAAATTGTAAAGGTGCAAATGTACCAGAAATATATATGAGAGTATAAAATTGTTGGATAGGAGGATAATAGGATTTTTAAGGTTTAAGTTAGATTAATATAAATCATGGACCAGGAGATTGTGTTTGGACAATTATTGATGCTAATCATATAGATAAATTATTTCATCTTATGCCTGATTTATTTAAGAAGGAAGGAAGATGGTATGTAAATATTGCATATTTTTTATAAAACTAAATACCTGTTAAATAAATAATTTAAAAATAAGGTGATATACTTATAATTGGTGCTGGATGTTTTTTTTAGGCTAAAAATATTGGAAATTCAATACATACATCATTTAATTTTTTAATGATGGATGATTTTTCTTTGTAACAAATTTACAAGAGATAGATTAGGAATGATTTCTTTCACCTTTGGAGTGTTATAGCAATTAGAAATTTATTTTTAGATATATATATCCATGAAAAATTAACTATTTTAAAAGATTATTTAAAACAATTTATTGATGAAGAACTTCGGCGTTAATTATCTAAAAAACATTTAAATCGTTTTAAATTATATATATCCTCAAAAGATGTATTGATTTGCACTAAATGTTATAAAGAAATCTTTATATTTTTTTAATTCATAAAAGATTGGGTATATTATTGTCCAGATTGTTATGTTGATTATGAAGATGTAATATATATGAAATACAACATTATTCAATTGAAGTGTCTTATTTAAGCTGATACTATTTAATGTTCGAAATTGTTATGTAGCAATTATATTGGAGAATCTAAATGCACAATAAAATAGACACTCTCTTAAAAAGTGTAAATATAGGATTAAGATAATTCATCAATTGTTGAAAGTAGACAATTTTTAGATGAATTTCTTGTTGGATTAAATATAGAATCATCTAATTCTCAAAATTAAAATGGGACATCTCACCAAATTGATTTATTAAATAAAGATAAAAAATAAATTAAAAAGATTAAGGAGAAAATAACGATGATCAAAAAATAACATATTAAACAATTAAAGTATAAAAAGAAAGAAAAATATTCAGACCTTTAGGTAATTAAGTACATATAAAAAACCAAAAGAAACATCTTAAATTGATGAATAAATTTATACATATATTATCTATAGTAATGAATCATTTCATGGAAAGTATTGAATATTTTAGCAATGTAATTAATTATTCAAATTATTATAATAAATTTTAATTATTACTTTCTCATTTAATTGATATTTAAATCAGGAGAAATCAAATAAAATTATCTTTACTATCTAATCAAATTATAATTAATTCAAATAAACCATATTAAATATATTTTATAATTATCTATTAAACACAAATTATGTAATCAATTTATTCCCCATATTTTTTCAAATACCTTATAATATGTGCTTTTTAAAGATTTTGGCTAATATCAATAAGCTTTCTTACATCATGTTAATAATAATAATGTATGATACCAATAACAAATGAGAAAACAATAACATCACCATTAGGAATATCTATCATTTTACCCCTACTTTTTAATAAGTTTATGACTGTTTCACAAAATCTAGGAACAATACTTAAACAAATTTCCATTGCTCTACATTTATTTTTCATAAATACCTAGTATTAGATTCAAGAAGAAGGGCAAATGAACTAATAAATCCACCAGATAATGGAACAAATGGGTCGACCTTTTTAAGGAGATTTTTTTGTTTGCACCAATTATATCGTAGTATTTGAACCATAAAAGATAGGAAACAAATGCTTTTAAAATATGAAACAAGAGCTCTGCTTATAGTAGATATAGGACTATTGATATAATAGTATTAATAATACTTCTTCATAAGTTGTTTTCTTTTATACAATAGAAATGGAATCAAATGAACTGGCAAATAAACTTTAGAATTGGATCTCATAATTCTTGGAAGACTATAAAAAAGTGATTTTGAGTAATACTTACTTTGATAAAATGTTCATTTCACAAGATTGTCCAGGATGTACGATTTCACAACTAAAGGGAGTTCCTAGTAGTTGGATGGATGATTCTACCTGATTAAATGATCAATTGATCTGCTGCACTGATCACATAACTAGACATGATTATTTTATTTATTTTAAAATTTTAGTTGAAATCAATGAATATTATAATCCTTCATTAATTGAGCTTTTTAGTACTATAGGCAGCCAATCCAATCAATAATCCTTGAAAAATGAATGTA